TAGGTAGCCCCTTTTGTCAGTTTGTCTTCGGTGTAGATCTTTCGGGCCTAGCTAGCATATATGCCGTTTCGGAATTCGGGTTCCACACAAGGCCAACGAAGCTAGAACAGTAACAGTACCGGTAGTTGGACAATAATGATCCAAGAGAAAGTTCAACATAGAGAGTCGAGTATACTATTATGCGGAAGGCAAGATATGAATGGAGTGGCATTTTTATCAACTATATGTAATCTGACATGGCGTGTTATATGCGTCACGTGATTTTAGAATAGTGGCCTGATATCATGTTACGTCCAGCTACGCCCCTTGAGCCGGAGAAATGGAAGGCTAGGATCTATACAAATTCTTACTACCGAATCTTCCCGAGAGATTAGTTTTTATTTTCCCTGGTTTGTTTATTGTAGACGAAGTATTCGTAAAACCTATTCGTGATGTATGAACTGTACACGCATGTATGTTTTGTGATTTCCAGCACACTTTTTGACGTTTGAAAATGCGCATCAACTGCACGGGAACAGACATCTAACTACAATACATGAGCAGATACATACAAAGCCCTCAACTAATCTGCCACCACAGACAGCCGAAGCATTGACATCACGGGTTTTTTTCACCAGCTTGCGCGTGACAATGCAGGTATGTAGGTATGCAATCTGATACGGCGTCTCATGAGACCTGTCTCAAAGGTATTTTTAAAAGATTGTAATCATTATTTTTATTGTAAAAGTGATAGGCCGGCGCGGCTTCATTCGCGATATTTTTGAGGTGCAGATTCCCTAGAGTTGAATGCTCATTAGGCTGAGTATGATTCTCTCTTACTGAATAGAGCATGGCCTGTCTTGCATCGGAGAAAGGTGTCTTGGGGAAGGTTTATGATAGGCACATGATTGGCTTTGAGCCTTTCTCGGGGTTTGTAAACTAATCTTGCGTGTGGCAATGAAAATATTTCTATTGTATCTACCGTAATATTCATTCCGTGTGCTAGCCCTTCTTTAACAGGAAGTGTAGCTCCGGTATCTAGTAAACCTAATTCCCGAAAGGTGTGTACAAAGATGCACGATTTCGAAAACTTATGGGAGTGGATCTTAGATCTCCTGCCTGCCTTGGTTCTTATGCCTCAGATCGATTCACATTGTTTCAAGGGTCCTAGTTCTCCTATTGGTTATGATCCATGGTTATATGAAGTACCGGCACATCACACATATATTCGTAAGCTATATTCCATATGACCTCGTATATAAGTCTAGGCTTCGGTAAATACCATGGAATCTTCCCGGATAAGCTTCTTGTCGCCTTGGTTATCCCTGCCCTGCTGAAAGACAGTTAGCCAGGCAGCTACTCAACTCCATCTAAACCAATGAGAAAATGTGGGGGAGTTGCGACATACCGGCCTCATTGCCCTGTTTAATATTCGATGTTAATTAACTGCAAGCAGCCGCTTAAATCAGAACATGGAAATGAATACTCTCCAATAAGCTTACCTAGCTATAGTGCTGTACTTTTCCTACAGTGGAGTTTACCTCCAAGTTCCAACAAATGTATCCCTGTTTATAGAATTTGGAATTTCTATTTCCTATTGCATAGTGTTATGTTCGATGCTCGACGATGAAGGCTTAATATAGGGATATGGCCGTTTATCTGTGATCATGGGAGCGAACGGGAACAAGACGAGTATGAATTTCGTTAGAATGAATCAGGATATGTTTGGTGCTGTTCGATAGACACATACAAGAAGCTCACCGCCGTATTAATGTCTCTGCATGTCCTATTCACTTGCAGATCGTGAATAACATGCATCTGATTAACTACGTAGAGTAAAGTGTGTGCATTATGTGGCAGGGTGCTCTGTCCACTCCACGCAGCTGGAGACAGCCTAGGTGCTCATCCACTCACGTTGATGCATTAGCGAACTGGTGCGACAGCTGTCAAAATTTTGAAGGTTAGTGATAGAACTATAGAGACAAATGAAATCTCGTACTTACCACTCCATTATTCAGTCGATCTGTTCGTGTTATAGGAACTCTTACGTCAAGAGTCATCATTGCTTTCGATGGAGCTCGTCGTTTTTGTAATTAATTTGGATATATCATCGCTAGATTTATGTATAAATGACCGGCCGCTTGTGGACCTACGTCACAAACTTTATTATGGCAATATCCTAGAGTCTTCGATCATCGACTTATGTCAGGTGCTAGAGGGCTACACCCAAATTAAACAAGTATGGGGATTCCTGGGTTGTAATGCACCTTCTTCAGTGCGGTGATTTTCAATACGTTTTTTGTTTCAAGACATCGCGATCGACTTTGCATCCAATGTAGGTTCCACGGGTGGCCACTTGATCACATACCTCCGGGAAACAGAGAGTACTGGCGATTTTGAAGGTATATTCTCATAGGCCTAGTGATAATAAATGTAATATAGATCTTTGTGAGGATTGTTGGAATAGGTTGTGCTTGATGTTAGGATCACTTGGCTGCAGTACGTATATATATATAACCTGGCGAGTACACGTGTGGATGTCTCGGGGTCGACGAGGAGAAGCCTGTAACACTCCGGGTAACATCCTTTAGCTTATATACTAGCTAAGTATTATAGACCTTATAAACGTATATATATATATATGGAGCTTGTAACTACATGTATTTGCGCATGCCACATATCCGTATATATACGCGTAGATACTAGGTCGTAAGTGTACTCATTCAAGAACCTCGCGTCCTGATTCCACATTTATATAACTCTGGTATATATCTACCAACGTTAACGTACATCCTAGTTAGATTCGATTGAAGAATAAGCGACAATAACAACAATCGCAAAATGGGTTTGAGGGCTGTATATTGATTAACCGAGTGATAGCTTGTGACTCCAAAGGGAAACATTTTACCTCGAGATCCCCTTAGGGTTTGCAATAGGTTTCTTTGTTAGTATAGAAATTATGTATATGGGAGTGAATTTACATGCAGGATTTTTTGATTTAGCTTCTCTATCAGGTCGCATGATAGAGTTTCTGTGAACGTGATTCCTTTCCCTCTATTCCCAAGAGGTGGCGTTTCAACTTTGTATGATTTTGAGATCTATATATTAAGTTTGATAAACACACTATATCAGCAGAGCCTGTAATTGATTCCCTTAATCAATGGACTTGTGAGAGTTAGGAACAATTAAATTGCGAGAAATGATGTTTCATAAATAGCATGCGGTGGTGAGCTGTTGATATCCCATCTATAGTTGAATTAAATGCCACTGGTGCTCTCCACGAGACCGTATGTTCAAGACATAATGAAGGCCTGGGCGCTGTTGATTTCTGGCTTCCGAACATTGGAGAATATATTTGGTCCTCTTTATACTTGCGGTGAAATTAAGTATTGTCCCAATTGCGCTCGCAACCATTCAACCCCACCAAACTTAAGACCCTATAAAACCACAACCAATAGCTAATTTAAAACCAAATGTATTAAAGTCAGTCATTTTTGTGCTCAAAAGTAATTATCTCCTGCTTTAATTATCATGGTTATGGTGGCGGTGGTTGGTGGCCTAAGGAAATGGTGAGGTGGCGCTAGTACCGGTGTTACGATGCTGGTCAATTTAACATCTCGGTCGAGTGAGGATCTGTGCTCAGGACACCTTAGGTCACGTGATAGAATCTCGTTCTAAGCGTAAGAAGACACTGGGAACATTGTTTAATGGAACACGTATCATTATGAATCCAGATCTAATATGTAGTGAGAAGCTAGCTCTATTCTACTAAACACCGTTGTATTGACTGGTTTACACCTTAGCATAACATTTAATGTTGTATATGATACATACATGTAGTACATGTATCGATAACGTGATGCTGCCACTGAGGTGGCGGTTACTTACACAAAATCCTATAGATGTAGCCTCTCAGCGAGCATACGTCAACAAGTTACTAATTTACCGAAATTATGTACGTGACTCTGGAGTATAAGTTTTCTCTCCTTTCGTATTGAACACATGTACACGTAGTCTCGCCTATCACCTTTTAACTGCAAAACAGCTTGCCCGATCACTCTTGAACCGCCTTGCTCCCCACAGCTCCTACACAAAGCTCAGAGGGTCTGAATAGCGCGGAGATGCACCCATCACATTTGCGTTATCCCACCATGGTGGCCGGTGCGGAATGTGGACCAGGCCTTAATAGCAGGGACCCAACAGAGCAATCCCAAAGCCAACAGCCCTCCCCGACTGCTGCACAGGCAGTCCAACAGACCTTCACACCGAGACCCCCTGAGCACTCAGGTCGACCCGGGCCCCTGCCTCGTCATCCTGCAATCCAAAATCTACGACGATTCACTCAAAGAGCACCATATCGTTTATCAGAAAGACGTGATACTACTAGGCATTCTAGTACTTATTCACTGAATTCATTAAGGATGACATATCGACAGCCTCTAGACACACTTCCACTCGAACACTACAATATTTACCCAAGTAGACAAAACCAAGAGGGTCTCCGGGACGATACTGATCAAAATTATCTTGGAAATTATACCCAGATACAATTTAATACTGCGAGTGTATCACGCAATGAGGTTCCTGCACCTGGGGTATTGCATCTGGCTAGCCTAGGATTACAGACATCTCAAGTCCCGGAGAATACAGATTCTCCTTTATCTTTAGGACTGATGACTTTCAGAGTGGAACCAAATGGAAATTCTGCTGTTGTTATTAGACATTCTGAAGGGCATTTCCAACCGGGTGAAGTGATCGAATCTCAGGCCGGGCTTGCATCATGTTTCGAATCAAGAGTGTGTCCGATATGCCAAGAAGAATGGATTTGGAGAGGATTTACTCCAGCAGAGATGGCTATCTTAGATTCAAGTGGTGCTGAGTGGGAAGTCGCTAGATTGCCATGCGGACACGCATTTCATAGTGCTTGCCTTGCTGTTTGGTTCCACGAGATAAGTATTCCTGTGACATGAAGTTCTCGGGCTTAGCTAACTCTTTGATTCTCACGGAAGTCCTAGTTGTCCATGTTGCAGAAGGCAGTACAGGTTCCGTGAGTATCGATGGAGTGAATTATTTTGCTACGAGGGTTGGCGATTGAGATATAACTGGCAGGGAGATCGTGAAGATAGCAGTGCAGATGCTTATCTTGATGGGCACCCACATTACCCATCAATTTCAAGAAGGGTTTCGTTCACTATCCGTAGTCAGAGCGAGGAGCAACCTAGAGTCACGTATACATCAGACCCAATACAGGCGTCACCGTTGCCCCCCCAGAGAAGACGGCATCCAAGCTGGACGACACTCTCTTCATCGGGAGGGGGAACGGTGTTGAGAAGAACAAGAAGGACATCTCGCTATGTATCTGATACCCTGAATGCTTTAGGGGAAACTTCAATGGTCGTATCGCCTGAGGAGCCTGCAAATGGTTCTATGACTGATTTCTGTCTTGGAGATCTTCAAGCCCTTACACCAGACATGATTTTACACGAACCGGAATACTGGAATAGGTATGAGATCGAAATTGGCGAGGAAGGTGAAGGAAGTCGGATACAAGTATGCCCGAATGATGGAAGTTCGTTGAATGGATTAAGCCCAGGATGGCCTCACTTTGACGCATATATCTCACTTTCTTCAGTTGAACAAGCAAGAATAACAAGACGGTTGGGCGAAGCAGGAGAAGAAAAAGAATCGCCCAATAACGAGGAGTTGGAAGGTTTTAACACGCAAATGAATGGTTCACATTCTCCTTTGAGCGAAATCCTGAGGCAGTGGAATACGCGGTCTACAGTTGGCGATGTTCTTCGTGATTTCCACATAATAATTGCCTATGTTCTTGAGGGAATGCAGAGGTACGAGGCAGGAATGGCACCGTGGCCAGGCGTATCTCCAAACTTTGACCAAAATACAAGAGATCTCTGCCAAGAAGATATTGAAGGAAACATATCAATTACCAGTGCATCACGTCGTGTTCTTTCTCTTCTTGAGAGCACAGGTATCCCCGGGGCATCCAGATCTGAGAATCCAGCACTTGGGAGCGTTACTCGGAGAATCTCGAAGATTCCTCGACTCGTGAAGAAAGATCTTAAAGTCGAAGCCCCAGCCGATAAAATGATGATGGCGTCCGAGGATGCCACGTTTGACGATTGGGAGATAGTTGACCAGGCTGCATCCCACCAAGACTCTCAACCCACCTCGAGAGTTATCGAGGCCGAAAAGACCAAATCACCTAGAAAGGTTGCGTCTTTAACTATTCCAGGGCAAAGGGAAAGTGTACCCGCAAAGGAAATTTGGATCTCGAAGATTCTAGGAGAAAATAGAGGGGCAAGCTCGTCTTGCAGTCCTGAAAAAATGGAGGATTCCAGTTCACGAACAATTGAACCTGGGCACGTTGCGTCAAAAATCCCGATTCTTTTGTCGAGGCCTGGCGGGGGGCACTCATTAAATCCGAATGTTGAGAAGATGGGACGTTCTCCTGTGCACAAGGGTGTGGAAAATTCGCCGCTAAGTAGCCAGAGGGGAAGACTCATGGCCGGAGAAATGCAAGTGCCGTTAGACTTGCATTTCATGAGGGGCAGAAAACCTACCCGAGACTGTAGTCCGTTGGCAAAAAATTCCATCTTTAGAATTACTAGTCCAAAAAAAGACAACACCGTTAGTGACTTTGAGAAGGATGAGACAGACGATGAGCTTAATGAAAAGAAGAAGAGGAGCCGTTTCACTTGAACTTGAACCGGTTAAAAATGAGTGTCATGTTAATAAATTAACATCACTGCACTTGTAGAGGTGATTATGAGAGTGTTAAACAGGTACACATACATACTATGAAGGTGTTCTGCAGTCTCATTGTTCACAATAGCATAATGTTATCTTCGGGGTTTTTGCCCTAGCTAAGCGTGAATATAAGATTTGCACTGAGATAAAATATCGTATTCATATTGAAGTGACGGTCCCATGTGATATTTGATTGAATGATGACCTATATAAACAAATAGGGCCAAGCCCGAATAAGACGACAGGAAATATATAACTACAACAATCAAGCTGTACAGGCACCCATACCATTCCGTATTGCAAGAGTCTGTCAAAGACAAGTTTTATCTTGAAAGGGTTAGGAATTACCAGTTACAAAAGGCAAAACAAAAGGAAATAAAATAAAAAAACAACCAAACTCAGTCTCCCAATTCAGCCACCTCGCTTTACCAGTCCAATTTCCCATCAAAAGCCAGTCGAATCCGAATCAAGAATCACAAGACCTAGAACGCCAAAAAGCACAGCTACTTTCTCCTCCAAATCCCTGCCCATAATCGTCAACTTGCATCCTTCTCTACTCCTTCTATAACTGCAACCCCCGCACCTTCCAATCCCTCCCGCACAGCAGCCACTACATCTACCGGTGGCCCATCACGCGAATGCAAATTACCTCTTCCACTGGCCGAAGAGCTCCGACGCGAGTGCTCTGTCGTGATCTGCGACAGTGTCTTCTTCGCTCCTGTAACAGGTTTTCGGGAACGAAGTGATCCCTTCGCATCCACATTCGCGACGACAACAGTACTCGATGATTGGCCAGGGGTGGAAGGCGCACCCGGTTTCTCCTCAACGGCATCAAGTAAATACCACCTTAGACCATCAGATAGTTCAAATGGGTTCTCGTCATCGATACTTGCGCCGTCCGATGAGTGCAGACTAGCACGATCGGGCGGCAGCTGTATCGATGCCGAGGAACGAGAGAGGTCGACAACACGATCTTCAATCTTGGTAATACGTGCGAGGAGCCAATCTCGTGAACGAAGGTTATGGCCTGTTTCCTCTTTGAGGAAAAAGTGGGGTGCGCCGACGTTGAAGGCGGCCCATGGGCGGGTCGCGGAGTTGCGTGTAGGAAGGAAGAGAGCTAGGTCACCTGATTTGAAAGATTTAAACGCGATTTTCTCGTTGGCTTCATCGCGGGAGCGGTAGTATTTCTCGCGGTAAGCGCGGCACTGCTTCATAAGCTGGCGGCAGTCGTTTTCAACCTTCTTTACTCTGCTAGTAACGGTGTCTGCGAATGCGTCTAGATCAAGGGAAGAAATGTTGGTAAGATATGCGGAGAAGGCTTCATCCTCAGCGGAAGAGTCTGAGTCGTGCAGCCAATAGAGAAGAGATACATCTTCGGCCGTGGCAGGTGGGAGATGTCCGGATTTCTTCATGGATGCGGACATGTCGTGGGATGAGCGACTTAGCACGGCGCTATCGCTGTTGTTGCTTCGAGTGACCTTCACGATAGTGGTACTGCCCTCGTTCCTAACAATCCGATATCCGAGCGCCTCCAGCAATTGGATTGAGCGGATATTATGTGTATACAACCTCTGGGTAAGATCCTTGGCTTTGATGCTTCTGCTTTCTAGTCTCCTCTCCAACATTTCCTTCTCCTTCTCGACTGTCTCACCATGTTCCTTCACATCCTCCAATTGTCTTGAAAGATCTTTACACCGGTCGACACTCTTCGCAATTAGTTCTTCAATTCCGTCCATTAATTTGCCTAGATCATTTGGCGCAGTCTCCCCCCCAAACTTCTCGTGTGCCCCCTTCACTCTACCTACTAGACTCTCTCGTTCCAAACTATCTTTCTTTGCATTCTCCAATACTTCCTTCATACCCTTCATCGATTCCTCCATCGCACGCACACTCTCGATAAGTCTTGCATTCTCACCTTGGAGTCTCTCGACTTCCACGCTAGTTATTTCCAACTCTCCTTCGAGACTCTTAATGCGTTCCTCATCGCGATCAAGCTCTTCATATGCTTCCTCAATTTTACCTTTTAGCTCCTCGATTTCTTGCTGGAAAGCTTTACGCTCAACGATGTGTTGCTGATCCAATGCCTCCAAGTTTGCGACAAGATCACGCTTGGTATCATCAGCGCTTCTCATCCGTTCGCTCATCTCCTTCTCACTCCCTGCATGGGCTGCGGCCTCCTTCTGTAGCCTCGCGGTAAGTTCCCGCTCTGCCACAAGCTCTGCTTCAAGTGTGGTTATACGGGTCCGATCTACAATATTCTCAGAGCTTATTCGTCTCACGTTGACTGGGCTTGTGGGCCCATCATTTGGGAAAGCCTGTTGCGTGAGTTGTGGTGTATTTGATGCGGACTGCGGAGTCTGTGAAGGGGTATAAACATTCCCCGTGGTTGCCCTAGCTCTATGGATTAGGTCCTCTAGCTTTCTCACACGGCTTTCATAACCTTGCACACGTTGTTGCAAGGCCTCCTTCTCCGTGCGCAGAGTTTTGAGTTCTTCATCGCCATGAGAGACATAGAATGAGCCTCCACCTGTGTTTGTAGCCTCGTGTATAGAGCCGAACTTGAAGCCTTTTGGGCGTTTCCCGCCGTGTTTTCTTCCTCCCGTGGTTTGCGGTTCATCTAGTTTGGTGTAGAGCCCCTGGAGATCTTTCCATGTTCCTTCCATCCCTTCCATTGTCTTGAGCATTGTAAGAAATGCTTCAATATCTGCACGGTTGATGTTTGGTAAACCTCCGCTCGCATCGCCGCGCGTGGTCAGCTCTGCACGAACAACCCCTTGTACGCCGTCACCACCTTCAAGGCTGAAAGGTAGGAGAGATCCGGTGTTCCGCATCCACTTTCTTCGTCGCTTTTCTTCATCTTCTTTGATATTCGCAAGATCCTCTGCAACGCGTTGAGAATCACTGGTGAATTTTGCAGACCATTCACGGCGGCGAACACACTCGATAAGAAGAGAGCCATAGATACTGGGGAAGCGCGTGATGAGGGTTAAGAGACGGAGGGAAGCGTCTTCAGCGAAGGTACTGTCAAGAGAGGTGAGGGCGGGGTTAACAGGTGCACAGAGAGATTGAATGTGTGCAATCGTTTGCAGATGAGCAGTACTTCTTTCAGAGGCCTCGTTCTTTATTACGTTAATTAGGGTTCTGTGAAGCGCGATGATAAAAAACGCGGATTTGGATTTGGATTTGGATTAGTTGGGTCTACCTTAAGTTTGACAGCCTCCTGCAAGACTCTCCCTACATCCCCGACTACACTGACCAATCCTGGCAGATACTCGGTCGTACTAGCATAAGCCCTCTTACTCGCTGTAGAGATAGCTCTTGGCCCCTGCAGCGTGAGCACGTAGTCATAATCCGTCTTTACCTTCTTAACTAATACCTCTATCTCTCCAATCAACATTTTGCAATTCTCCGCCACCCCATCCCGTTCTGCAAGTTCTTTTTCGCGTTGGATCTCTCCTTTGAGTACCTGCGTTTGACCAACTATATCCTCGATTGTCTCGCTGAGTTCAATCACATCCTTTTCAAACTTCTGACTCAAGCTTGAGAGGGTTGAGGCGGCAAGCTGGACATCTTTTATGGTGAAAAAGTCCGCAAGCACCTTAGCTTCCTGCTCTTCCTCCAAGCCCGTTTGATGATATCTCCTCAACTCAGGGTGTACCGGGAGGCGAGTAAGGACACCCACTCCGTCCTCCCACTCGGCCAAGACGCGGTCCTGGTCCACGAGGACTCCTTCAGCCCAATCCCGTAGCTTCCCTAACGAACTGTTGAGAGTTCCGGAATGGTACTCGAGATTGCTAAATGCGACTTTGACGGCCTGGCGTATTACCACAGTCCCTGTGTCGTTCTCCGCAATCTGTTGGGCGAGCATCTGGGCATGGCTCAACACGCTCTCACTCCAACTCAAACGTTTTTTAAATAGAGAGCGCCAGGAGGAAAGCTCGGTCTCGGAATCAAGATTCGTCGGAAACGGGGTGGGTATTTGAACACGGGGGATCGGAGATGTGGGGGGCGGGGGAAACGGATGTGTGAGGTGTCGACGATCAAACAGGTAAAGTTCGCGCTATCATAATATTAGTTAGTGAGCTAGCTGTCAGTGGGATCGGTGGGAGCCGACGAGAACAGACCTCCTGGGTGAGGGACGCGGGCTTGAAGTTTGTGCCCCGACTCGTCATCAAGATCTGGCAAGCCGGGGGAAGAGAGATCTTTGAATCGATCCATTTTCGGAGTTCTTCGACGCTACAGAGAGAGCTGTTAGTTTCAAAGCTCGTAGCTATCTGTAGCTCAGCACTCTAGCTAGCTTGGACAGCGATAGAGGACGGAGATGCTCACGAGGCGAAGGATCCGGATTCGGCTTGTAGACACTCTCCCGTATGGGCCGTATAAATTAGTATCGGCATTCCTCCTCACGGTGGAGGTCCGGGTCCTGTGCTGTGCCCTTCTTCCAGTTCGGTTTATGAGTTGTGGCTATGAGGATAGGTCGTGATACGGTGAATAAGACCAATATGTCGTGTTCTACGGCGCGAGGGTGCTTTACAAGAAGAGAGGAGAATGAGAGAGAGAGGGGGGGGGAGATTAAGATAAAAAATACAAATAAAAAAAAGAATGCTCGCCTTGTCGGAACGCCACAGGTTGGCACTGATTTTGATTTTGACAGGCGATGAGAGGTGAGTAAGGTTAAGGCGTCGACAAGTGACGGTTGTCGCCAAGATGTCGCACGTGAGCTATGATGTTTCTTCACTGTCCCATGGTGTTTATCAAGTGCCACCTGAATCTACAAGGAACAGCTACAACAATTATATTAGGGCATACATTCATTGGAGAGACATTATCATAGTATCGCCAGCGTGGAGCTCTATCTAGCACGACACCTAAAGTGTTTTATTTACATATAACTACCGCTTTAGGCAGTTGTGATACAGGATCTAACCTCCTACAGCCTCTGATCTTCCTTGCCATTTCCTATTGCGGTAATCATAATTGTATTAGAAATCTTCGCCGTGAATGTTGTGCGAATTAGCCGTCAGATTAGATTACTATAATATGGCTGTTGTTCGAGTACCTGTTATGCTAAGACCCTAAATTGTAGGAGCAGATCTTTCCTCACGCTAGCTTTCTATCAGATGGTCGTTTCAGGTCGGCTGCCATTCGAAAACAAAGCCCAGACGTTAGATGACTAATCAGAGTACTAGACTAAACATGTGGTGTCGTGTACTTTATAAATTTAGGATACGTGAAACAAAGCATAATCATAGATTTAGTTTGGCTTCTTCCTTCTTTATCCATTATGATACGCCCATGGTATGGTTGAATAGAGCTTTCATCGTTCTCGTTATATATCGAGCAGTCTTCTATCTCTACTACCTAGGAAACTACCCGTGGATACAACAGCCAACAATGTGATTGATAGGGTCAGTCACATAGTGATACAAGTGCATTGGCACAAGACTTCTACATTTACCCCCAAAGTCGGTTCATTTGGGAAGTCAAGTTATACCGGAACATCACCAGTCCATTTAGAAAAGTGCTCATAATCGAGACGGCCTTAAGTCAATTTCCAGCAAATAAAGAACGGTGCAGAAGCTAGCTAACCAACGTCAAGCCTTAAACACAACATAATGTGTACTCATTACTCGATTCAAAGGTTCATCGTCAAATGAAGAGTTGAATCTTCTCAGTCGGACGGAGAGCTAGTCTTAAGCTGCTGAGATCTAGGTGTTTCATCGGCAGTGGGATATGCGGTACGTACTTTATTAGCAAGGATTTACCTTGAAGCAGAACGTTTTAAATAAGAAGTAGAGGGGGGAACATTACTAAGGGAAAATCATTTTGCATCTGCTGCAGATTACGGAGTTTATTGCCTCCTTGAAGCTCTTTACAAATTATAAACATGGCCCAAACAACGTTCCAATCCCCTGACTCTATGTGTATCGAGGAAGATATGTTTCGCTTAAGTTCGATAGTATGGACTGCAATAGAAAGTCTAAAATATCTCTCCATCGAGTATAGCAGCGATTTGTGGTACTGGCGGCTTGGCGGGGTCCTATTGTACTCAACGCCAGCGCCGGCGTCATGCAAGGCCCGAAGAGAATACTACATTTAAGTACCAGTGGCAGTATACGCAGAAGTGGCAGTGCCGAACACCCTCTAAGCAGCGTCACGGAATAACATGGCAATATTACGTACGCGATAACGATGTTTTTCAATACTTAGGAAGGATATTACGGAAATGCCTTTATAGCATATTAAGAGAAAAAATATGTACACGGAACCAGTCAGCAGAGCTTCTTGCAGCATCTATAACCCACCGCTGCTATAAATTCCTAAAAGAAGGGGGGTTGTCTAAAAAATGAAATTGCCTAATAAAGGACCGTCCGAGGTTGGACTAGGGCGGGGCGCACATACTTCACCGCCCGCTACCGTATCATAGGCCATCACTCGATACTAAGCTCACAGCGTCAACCGCCTCTCCACCCTCACCTCCCGCATAACAGTCTTCACGGGCGTACTTTCCCCCGACGCGATCGTCAGTGCTTTTTTATGCCTCATATTCTTTCTATGCGCCACGCACAGGAAGATGCCGAATCCCAGCGCGCTCGCCAGTGCAAGGGGTATCACGATCTTTGCCCACAGGGACAGACCTAGGCCCGCGGCTTAGTTAGCTTGTGGACTAGCTGGATGTACATGGGGGGCCTGGGACTGGCGAACCAAAGATCCCTCGGTAGCGGAGTGGCTCTTCGGTGTTTGTTGGGGCGTGAGATGAGGCTGTAGCTGTGGTTGTGAATGTGATTGTAGCGATGTCAGTAATTGGTGGTGGTGGTGGTGTCGGTGGAGGTGGTGGTGGGGGTGGAGGTGTTGTGTCTATAGAGTAGAATTTCGTTGAGGTACTGTCGTCGCCAATCCTGCCGGAGAATGAAGAGGTCTCCGGCTCCGCAACGATTGATGATATAAAGAGCGAGGCATTCACAGTACTAACCGAGCCCGAGATATCGATCTGGAGCCCTATTGATGATGTTCTGAGTGTAGTTAAGTCGCCAATGGTTGTAACGACTAGTGAGCTTGAGACCTCAGGCTCGAGTGATAATGTTTCAGATGCTGTTGGGTCCCGCGTGGTATTTTCAACGGCCGAGCCATTATCGGTCGGGCTTGCGGTTTCGAGTGTTCTATGGCTAGCGGTTAGTATTGACCGCTCTGAGAGGAGTGGTGGGATGTGGACAATATTGTTTCGAGGCCTTGCGGGCGTGGAATTGCGGACTGTGGATGACGTTAGCGATACTGGTATGTATCGCACGCAATCAGCTCAGCGTTACTCACGACATAGAGCACAAGCAGTTGGTAAAACAAAATGTAAACGAGAAGTTGGTATTTCATCGTAGGAAACCCCATGGCTAGGTAGTGAGCTAGCTTATCGGTTTCGGGAAAAGCTAAGGACTCACTACAGGCACTAAGTTATGAGGCTTAAATGCTTGAATGCTGCACGCACTGGTGGGCGGTAGGCAGATATGTAGGTCGATATAAGACCCCTCGGATCCTCCAAAAAGAAAGGAAAGAGATAAGTGCACATGGAGCCATTTATATCCTAGTGCATGCTGGCTGCATCCCACAAAAAGGGCAGAAACATTCTAGAGATCAGTTGGCAGGGACAACGGGGGCCGGCCAATAAACACTCCTCCCGTATCTTTCGATGATCCAAACATCAGTTAATGCCTAGTTAATTTCCGTGAGGCATACGAGGGCTGACAATATATCGGCAGTTGGAGATAGTGCATATACTCGTAAAACGGCTCCCTGGCCGGATCTGCAGAGTAAACGCCATAATTAGGTGTCTCGGACTGCGCAGCTGCACGGTTGTCGTCCGAGACGTCATGAATTACGAGTGTGCCGGACTGGAGGCTCGGCATACCGAGGGCCCAGTAGATTTGGTTGCCAAGGTTTGTGTCTTGCAGTGAGATGGCGCCACGTCATGGGCTATCACTCGGTGGAGAGTCTGTGCTTACTAAACTGCGACTTTCGATAGGACATCGAACTGTGGTTTCTCTATAGCTACACCACTGCGCTCTTGACGTATTATATTCTCTGTCCTGCGCCGAGGATGCGAAGGTCTAAACGAGAACACACACGTCAGACCCGCCAGTCCGCCCGCGGATGCTCATGATTCCGCCCAGGTCGGCCACTTCACCCAGGAGCAGCTAGCCCCTGGTTACTTACATGTAGCTAGGATGTGAGTATGTGAGTAATATAATGCCCCCAGTTGTAGTCACCGCATACCGTTATTCCTACAGTCGATGGTGGCACGCCATATATAACCGCGTCCCGCTCCTCCCGCCCTAGCGCCCCGGCTAGAAAATTGCAGCTTGCTACGATCGGCCTGCAACGACAACTCTCTGAGCCGCCGAGAAAGCCTGGCCCGTTGACCCTCAGACACGGCGGCACCGGCCAGGATACCCAGAGAAGTTGCGGCCGACATCAAGCCGCATCGCAGTGGCGCAGGAAGGGCCGGTTTGTATCAATTAGCTGCAGAGGCTCCGGCTGTTCCCCCGCGGAAGTGGCAGTGGTTGGATCTCGCCCGCTCGGTTTACTCATGCTCAACATGCGGAAGCGATGATGGTATCGCGATCAGGTCACAGGGCAGATAGACTACGGTTAGCCCTTCAAAGGGAGCGGTTATAAGGGCAGGTTTGTACTATTCGGTGTGCGGTCGCTCCTGGTATTGAAGGGAAAGAAGGTACGTTTTACTAGTGCCGGAATATCACTAGCCGTAGGTAGGGGTGTCGCTGCGGTGGAGTGTTCGGGAGTTCCGGGCGATCTATAGAAGTTTTTCTGGCTCCCCGGTTGTGCGGGTTCGGTATAACGTACGCGTACCGGACACTACAAGAGGTGTGCGGTCTCGGACTAGGGTAAATGACCTGGAGTTCTATTAGTGGGCACACCGGACAGAGAGCAGAATCTCTATGGAAGTATACGTATCAATACTCGGAGAAGGGATTTGAATATCTAGACGGGTGCTAAGCCACTAGAACGAGTATCATTAGAGTGGAAAATACTTTTATGATCTTGGTCAAAGGACCGGCTATTGGTGCTGATAAGTGGCATGGTAAGTAATTTGGTGAAAGGACTGCTAAAACTACGGCGGTATATATCCCCAAGGAGCAAGCGTCTTACTCTAGCTGATACCCGTGGGTCAAGCAAACAGCTCCTATCCGAAACTCGGACCGCTCCTAACAGCTCTACGGTATAGTTCCCACCCGCTCAGGTCACTAGACTGAGGACTAATCAAAACGTGTCATTATTACAACGAGGGGTGCTTTATTATTTAGATATAGATCCTTTTACAGCACCGAGTTCTGAGATATATCGAGTCATATCTTGAAATCCAACATGTGTTGAACTAGGTAATGGAAACGCGTACCGAAACACTGCAGGCAACCTGATCTCTTCAATAGCTAGTAAATAATTAATTATACTCATATAATAAGGTATTGCCGAGTGGCAGCCTGTGATTGGAGCCGTATCCCTTGGGCGGTCAGTCCAAATCGAAATCGTGACCGAACCAGATATGGTAGTTATGCTCTGATAAACGCAGTTCCTGTTTATTCTATCCTCAAGTTTCTTCTCACACGCTAGAAAGCTCCACCTGTTCCACTAGAGATGGGGAGAGAATGAACAGTAATTGCGTTCAACTGAGCACACCCAGCCATATCTGGTTCGGTCACGATTTCGATTTGGACTGACCGCCTAAGGGATAGTTACGGAAACTGGTAAGGAAAACGCATACCGACGCGCTGCGCAATATGCCGGTACCCGAATAGCTTTCGAAACGAATTATACTCATATAATAAGGTGTTGCCAAAACTCGGGCATCTGTACATTTCAATGACTTGATATTACCACTCGATCACTGTTATACTAGCTTAACATCTCATGTCTTGACACAAAGCGTTGTGAAATAACGATCAACTCCGGAAGTCTTACACCAAGATTGATCCTATGAATATAACAGGATTATTACCTACTATCGACACACTGTGCTTAATATCTTAGCAGGCACAGCTATGTCAAGTCAATAAACTCAATCCACTCACCCATTGATACAAGTGATACAAAACATACTCACAAACCCACAATAACCTTTCAATACCGATTTTCAACCATTACTTCTACCATCTTCAAACCACATTCCCACCAACTCAACCCCCAACATACACCCATCCCACCACAATGACACCTAAAAACCCCATCCATTCCCAGTCTATGTTTCCACATTTACCCCCACACACAACACCAGATCATACCTATCCCTTGAAACTCAGCAATTCCGACTCTACTTTCACAACTGAAACTCCCAGCATTGCCACATCTTTCAAAGATGAAATTCTGCAAAGATAGCCATTGCCAGTTTAGACCCTAGGTATCAGAAACCAATACAGGCATTAGATGCCCTGAGGATAATAAGGGGCAAGTCAGAATTTCAACTTGAAATTCGGTACTCTAAGGTGATAAGTGTGGGATTTGTAGGTGAAGCTTTAGGATATCGGCCGTGAAAGTGGGATTGAGGGTTAGGGTTGGGTAATTAGGGTGTTCTTAGATGGCTTTTTTGTTACAGAACTGATTATGGGAGCTAGAGAGGCGGTATTAGGGGGTAGGCGGCGGCTTGGTAGATCGGTGGCTGTTTTGTATGTTCAATCGGGCTACGTACTGCTTTCCCCTTTTTTTCTTTTTCTTTTCGGGGGGCCCGGGGGGGGATTTCGCTGTGTGGTGGATCAATTGATGGAGTTCTACGAGGTAGCGAGCGGGAATGTAATATTGGCTAAATACATGTAGATTTCTTAGATACGCTATCGAGAGCATTTTGGAACCTGTGGCTGCCATGTACCACTCACGGTGAATCCTACAGGACTGAAAGATTACGTGGTTTGGTACTATGGGCTGAATGTCAAACAGTTTCTCTTTTTCCAATTAACGCCCAGGTTTAGATTTGAGAAGTCAGCCGGTTGCAATTGGCGCTGTGGTTGAAAATTGTTTGTGTTAGTCATATCCATCTACAAATTCCTACACGAAAAACCAGCTACTTACTTCCAGTTTTATCGGCACAGGTGCGCGCGGCCGTTATACTCCCTTTATAAAGTCTCGTTAGCCATTAAATCAGGGCTCACTCCTCGCCACCTCCATCACACGCCATCACTCACCCTCTTCACAAGCCCTCACTCGCCACACTCACAGCCCCTCACTCGCCGCACGCCACCCCTTACCCGGCCTGCCCCCCGCACCCGCACCCCACCCCCACCCTAACAACCCCCCGTGCAACCATGCACTCCTCCAAACTAAAGCCAACATGTCCCGCCGCCTCCTAATCCTCTACGGCTCCGAGACCGGCACCGCCGCCGACCTCGCCCACGAGCTCTCGCGCCTCGTCGAGCGCCACCACTTCCTCCCGACCTGCCTCGCGGCCTCGTCGCTCTCGCCGCCGGAATCGCTGCCGTCGTGGCCGCTCGTGGTGTTTGTGTGTGCCACTACGGGGCAGGGCGAGATGCCCGCGAATGCGAAGGCGTTCTGGAGGTTCTTGCTCAGGAAGAAGATTCCGCGCGATTGGCTGAAGGATACGTGCTTCACGACGTTTGGCTGTGGGGATAGTACGTATGCGGGGTTTAACTGGGCGGTGAGGAAGCTGCATCGGCGGCTGCTGCAGGTGGGGGGTGTAGAGGTGGCGGAGAGGGGGGAGGGCGATGAGCAGCATGGTGACGGGTGTGTTTGTGCCCCCGGCCCCTGGGTGAGAGAGAGGGAGGGTTAGAGGGTGGGAGTGCTGATGGGTGTAGGATTGATGGCGCGTTCTTGCCATGGTCGAGTAGGTTATTGGAGGTCCTGCTGGAGCGATATCCGTTGCCGGAGGGCGTGGCGCCGATCCCGAAGGAGGTGCTGCTGCCGCCAAAGTGGGTGCTGCAGCTTGACGAGGGTGCGCCGGAGGTAGTGGCGGCGGCGGGCGTGGAGGAGACGCATGTGCCGCGGCCAGGCGCACTCGTCGGGGTGCTCAGTGCGAATGTCAGAGTCACCCCCGAGACACATTTCCAGGACGTGCGGCACATCAAGATCACGCTGCCCACGCCCGTCTCCTACGCACCGGGCGACACCATCTCCCTCCTGCCCAAGAACCACCCCGACGACGTGTCCCACCTCCTCGAGCTGCAGTCCTGGCAGTCTATCGCCGACCGCCCCCTCCAGTTACTCCCGAACCCCGAAGTCCCCACCGCCGCGCTCCCGCCATCGCCGATACCCTCCCCTGTGTCCCCGCTGACGCTCAGAACTCTCCTGACCCACCACGTAGACATCACCGCCATCCCGCGCCGCTCCTTCTTTTCCACAATCGCGGCCCTTACTACTGACGAGACCCACGCAGAGCGTCTCCGCGAGTTCACGGACCCACAGTACACAGACGAGCTGTATGACTACACCACCCGCCCGCGCCGCAGCATCCTCGAGGTCCTGCAGGAGTTCTCGACCGTGGGCATCCCCCTCGATCGCGTCCTGGAGGTTTTCCCCCCGCTGCACGAGCGCCGTTTTTCAATTGCTTCGCCGCCAACGACGAGGCCAGAGGTCGAGATCCTCGTGGCCGTCGTCAAGTATCGGACCATCATCAAGAAGATCCGCGAGGGCGTGTGCACGCGCTGGCTCGCGGCGCTGCAGCCCGGCGCGGAGATCACCGTGGCGTTTCAGCGCGGAGGGCTGGGCGATGCGGCGGGGAGGCCGGCGGTCATGGTGGCGCCGGGGACGGGGGTTGCGCCGATGCGGGCGCTTGTTGGTGCGCGGGCGGCGAAGGGGGAGGAGGCGGAGGCGCTGCTGTTTTTCGGGTGTAGGAATGAGGGGGCGGACTATTTCTTTAGGGGGGAGTGGGAGGCGCTAGAGGAGAGGGGCGCGGTGAGGGTGTTTACGGCCTTCTCGAGGGATCAGGAGAGGAAGAGATATGTGCAGCATGTAATCCGCGAGAAGGGGGAGGAGATATATGAGGCGGTGGTGAGGAGGGGGGGCGTGGTGTATGTGTGTGGGAGTAGTGGTAGGATGCCGAGTGCGGTGAGGGAGGCGCTGGTGGAGGTGTTTGAGAGGTGGGGGGGCGTGGGGAGGGAGGAGGCGGAGGAGATCTTGAAGGCGTTGGAGACGGAGGGGAGGTGGAGGCAGGAGACGTGGGGGTAGCTGTATGTAGATAGATAACACTAATAGGCTTCATAGAGTACATACCTAGCTTAAGAATTGCTATTACTGTAGTCATTCCGGGAAGATTCTCTTATAGCAAACAGCCACCCTCATCCTTATGCGAGGGCACCATCGATTTCTCTAACGTTAGCAGCCATTGGCAATATAAGAGCTGGCGGGGTGGAGATACACTCATAAAACTTCACTTTGCAAACTCTCATATTGCGGCGCTGATGTAGAAGGCCAGTGGGGTTTAGCGTTAACTGCATGCGATATTCTTGTACCAGGAATCAATGGCTGGAACCCTTAAAGCTGTTGGTGACCGAGGTCCCGCTATCTGATGCCTGGAAGGTTCTCAAAAAAGATAGCCCCAAGCCCAGGCTCTGTCGCTCTATTGCTCGGATGAAAGAAGACGAGAGAGGTGGTGATGATTGGATCAAGTCGGTGCCGCAGCCTAACCTTTTTATAGAATCTCAAAAATAATATATATGCTTAACCAACTACAACCACGTAGCTGTTGTCCTGTTCGGACAACCTGCTCCATAACGCGTGATAATGATGGACCCAGGCGCCAGAATCATGATGCATCACTCGGTTTTAATATCGACGAGAGTCTCTTCGCTGTGTGGAATTCGATATATCGCCTGGTTTTGTGCTCCTACCACTGTTGGAATGATTGGTGTTCCCGTGATTATTATCAATATCAAAAAAGCCCCACTAAGCCCTTTTAGACAGTTCTTGTTATCATGTTCAGTGCATAGTCCTTGTAGTCCGTCTAAAAGTTTTGATGGACTGACTCTGCTCGAAAAGTTCCACAGCCCGCATATACGTAGTCGGTCCGGAATCGGACTAGTCCAGTGAATATAGGGGACGTTTAACTATTAAAGCTAGACTCTCGCGCACGTATACGCCCTTCGTACTTGCTGTCTTTTATCCCCGGTGCCAGATATCGATACATCTTCCGTCAGCCAACAAGGGCCATATCCCGCTCTTTCTCGGCCACATTGCAACTCGTGATCAAGCAGGCATATATATCCCCCTCACGTCATCTCCACACTCCCATCAGATCTCCCCCATTACTTCATCCAGCCAAACATGGCACCCATCGACAGCGCCCGTCTCCCATTCCCAATCTACCGGCACTCCAGGTTGACTACCGCCCTCCCCCCTCCCCCCTCCCCCATCCCCCATCCCCCCACAGCAGCTATATAGCTAGCCAGACTGACAGTGCCCGCACAGCATCGGCATAGCGCTCATGGACACACTAGACCAACCATGGTTCCGCCGCATAATGACGCCAGAGATGGCGGTGAGGGTGATGATGAACTTTGATGTCGTAATGACACGAGTACTGGCTGAGATGGCGCGCGCGAGCTTGAATATTACGGTATGTATTGCTGGGGGAAGGCCGCGCTGGGTGCTATGGGGGGCTGACGGTCAGTGTGTAGGGGCGTTTGAGTGCGTACAGGTTTTTGGACAATGTGTGGTGTTTTCAGTTGGAGGATGTGAGGCTCACGCTGGATGCGAGGGAGGGGGCGGTGAAGCCGGTACGCGCGGAGAGGATGTTGGTTATTGCGCATAATGCGGATCCGCGGGGGGAGGAATAGTGGTTTTGGTTCGTCGATAAGTGGGGGGCTATGGTTGTAAGAGAGTGATGTCCGAATAAACAATGGACATGTATGTACTATCGGTTATGGGGGGATAGAAATGTGGTTGGGTAATTCCTCAACAAGTGGGGTCCAGCAATATATCGCAAATAGTAGATTCACAAAAAGGGGTTAGCGCCGTTAGTAATAAAACTTAGGTGCTACTAATCTCCAAGACTCTGCGATATCATTGGCTAAGTGAAGTCGTAACAGCGTTCTATCTGACATGTACATGCAGTAGTTTCCGACGTGTATATCTCAATCCTTCCTTCCTTCTGTCGATAATTATCCGATCAAAACGACCCTTGTTCCTTCCCCCAAAACTAGAACCCATGCTCACCACCTGTGGCAGCAGCAATGCGCTAATGAACAAAGTGCGCCAAATTCATCCCACACCATCAAATACCTGGTTTCGTGGTGTAGTTGGTTATCACACAAGTCTAACACACTTGTGGTCCCCGGTTCGAGCCCGGGCGAAATCATCCTTTTTGCGTCTTTCTGCCTTGAAGGGGGTGGGATGGGTCATTTTGTTGCGTGGGTAGAAGGATGGGCGATCAGTGACGTCTCCTACTAAGATTTTTGGTTTTTGTTTCTGAGGCTAATTTTGCGCTCTACGTGGCTTTTAAAGCATGTGTGTAAACTTACTACCGCGACTAATACATGTACGTATAGTTGGCTAGTAGGACATGCGCCGCAAACGACTTTGGGAAAGCTGCAGCTCAGTGTTATCAGTTAGGCTCAGTATAGATATAACAGTGCATGATAATCATGTTCATTCTCTTTTTTTTTTTTTTTTTTAGATGGCCGTGGAACCTAGAGTTCCTCCTTATCGGTAGAGCAAATGTATTCACTATTTTGATGGCTCTTAGTTTTCAATAACAAGAAAAATAGTGATCCTAAAACAATCTTCAATTTTATCTTTTTCTCATCACGCCCTAGACCTTCTTAGACAGTGTGCATGTGTCTAGAGTACATGTATCTCTCATATCGCACCTATTTCGATTCCTTATCTCCTCCACGTGACTCTCGACCGGGTAATGCACTTAACACGCCAACGTCCGTCGCGTCCCTCGCGTCAAACCAAATCCACGCAACCTCACCTGAGAAAAAAAAAATGTCTTCAAACAAAGGTACATCTATCCATCGACCTCCTACCTGCAAACACCTTTATACTAACTAGTTGCCTAGATATTGTTTGGCCTCCTCAAACAACCGAAGATGTGCTAATGCTAACCCCGCGCAAACACCGTCCAGAGGCCCCCTTCTCGCCCTCGCCCCTGCGCAAAAACTCCCTCCCCTCCCCCTTCGACGGCGCAAACTCCGACAACTCGGACGATGAGGACGAGGACGAGGAGATGCTGAAGCTGAAGCTCGCGGCGCTGGAGGCGAAGCTGAAGCTGAAGCAATTGCAGAAGCGGCGGAAGGCTGCGGAGGGTGGGGTAGCTGATAGCGCAAGAAAGCCCAGTACCTCTTCGACCCGAAATCGCTCGGGGTCGCTTGTCCAGGTGCCGCAGTCACCCGTCAAGAGCTCGGCTGTCAAGAATGCGGACCCGCCGATGCCGAAATCGCCGAGTCGGGTGTTGCTGGGTATCGATAAGGGCCTCCGGGGGGCTGATGTGTCGCTGCGTCGGCCGCCGCCGTACAGGGCGGTTAATACTCGGGCCACGTCGCCGTCTGAGCAGCCCCGGAAAACGTACAGTGAGCGCATTGCGGAGGAGCGGGCGAAGGAGAAGTCGAAGGCTGAGCGGCAGAAGGTGGTCGAGAAGTCCCGGTCAATGGGGTTCAATTTCGACCCTATCGCTACCACATTTACTGCTGGAGGTAGGGGAGGGCCTGATCCGTTTGTTGAGGCTTCGCGTGCACCAACTGTGGCCCCTGAGAGTACGGAGCCGACAGAAACGGGTGGGTTCGATAGTTTCTCGGGCCTGCACTTGTCTTCGCGGCTGATACCGCATTTGACGTTGACACGCCATCTGTCGCCGACAACTATCTACCTTCTCCCCAATCTTCTCAAGGAAGTTAAAGGCCCTGATTTTGAGCCCCCAGATATCGAGGGCGACTGGGTCGTGCTGGCAACCATCTGTTCAAAATCCGAACCTCGCGAGGTCGGCCAGAACACCAATTCCAAGAAGGGGACCGGAAAGTACATGGTCCTCACACTAACAGATCTCAAGTGGGAGATTGAGTGTTTTCTCTTTGGCAGCGGCTTTGACAAGTTCTGGAAGCTCCCCGTAGGTGCCGTGGTAGCCATCATGAACCCCGGAATCATGAAGCCGCGGGTCGCCGACACGGGGCGATTCTCGCTCACACTCAATGATTCCAGCGACACGCTACTAGAGATCGGCCGGGCACGCGATCTGGGCTTCTGCAAGGCCATGAAGCGGGATGGCAAGATATGCGGGAGCTGGGTCGACAAGCGGCACACGCACTACTGCGCGTTCCACATCGAGGCCGGGGTCAAGAAGGCGCGTGTTGGGCGTGCCGAGGTCAACTCGATGGGGAAGCTCTTTTCTCCACCAAAGAAGGGTAGCGTCCGCCCGAGGCGATTTCTCGGTGGTCGCGGCGGCGGGAGGGATAATGGATTGCTGCATGAGGGCGCGCTTACAGATCTCCCGCAGCGGGCAGGGGGCGCAGGAGGGAAGGTCTTTGTGGCCCCGGGTAGATCAGCGACAAGGCTCCTGGATGATGAGTATGATGGCATGCACAGGGGTAGTCGGGAAGAGAGGCTGCAGAAGCGCCTCGCGGAGGCGGAGAAGGAGAGGCAGATGACTAGAAGAATCATTGAGAGCCAGGGCCGTGATGGCGGCGTGGGTGTGGACTACCTAAAACTAAGTGTGGATAGGTTTGATCTCAATTCAAGAGTAAGCGCTCTTCTACTTGCCCTTCATTTCTCTCGACTGAAAAACTAACTATGAAACCAACAGCCGTCAACTGCGAACTCCGTCAATAGCTCACAGAATACATCGGTAGACAGCTTAACATCGCTCCTTCTCCGCTCCAAGGGCGTGACAGCGCAATCAGTGTCCCTGAGCCCCATCAAGCGAAAACGGCCCGAAAGCCAGATGAGCAGAGACATGAGCCCGGAGAAGGGTGCAACCAAGCGGACACGGTTCGCGCTGCCGGGACTGGAAAGCACCTTTCGGGACGACCCGTTTGTAAGAGATGTCGACGAAGACGACGATTTGATTATTGTTTAATTTTTTTTTTCCAGGGCGTTTAATACCATTGGCTTTCTTTGTTTTTTTCTCGGGTTGTTGCTTTTACTTTGTGGGTGAGGTGAAAATAGATTCTAGTCTTGGTGGGTTGTTGTGGATTGTGGTTAGAGGGCGCGCGTGCGTGGTGGGACGGATTATTTTCTTCCTGGTAATTGTTTACTACTCTGGTTGCCCTGGCGGTAATGGGGGGGGGATTGTTAGTACTAAGTAGCTCTTTATATATATTCTTATGGAGTACATACAGTTACGTTCAAGGGGGGCTTTTATCATATCCTAATATTATTCTCATGCCTAGCTTGTACGTTGATTGAATTGAAATTTAATTACTGGATTCCAATCGTTTCACCTCCTCTCTGCAGGGCACATATATTTTCTACTCCCGGTTTGGCATGTCTACAATATCGATGAACGGTCGCTCTTGAGTGGATGCTCAAGACTGAATAGCGACTCCAACTACGAACGAGAACCCTAGCCCTGAGGGCAATCGGACTTGTGATATTGTTTATTCCACCAGCGAACGTTTGAACCTCCAATCACCACAACCAACCACCGACAAAAGATGGGCCCAAGCACCGGGGTGCATGGCTTGCATGCGCTGCTCTGATATGCGCCTCGCGCCGCAGCGGTGATGGAGAAGGCTTTTACTACTCATCTCATAGAGCGATTGGCTAGGGGTTATTTGAGTGGACTTAAAGGCGTTAGCGATACGATAAGCTTTGATCAACGATGGGCTTGCGCCCTTTTAAAGGACCTGGATATCAACCCTACTAAAGCCGATAGAAGATCGGCTCGAGACTACTAGTAAGAAAAGTCGTTAAAGTCGCGCGAATCACGAGAAGAGAGGTTTTCGCATCAGGACCAAAAGTTTTATCGAAAAAAAATATAAAAATCTTTATTTGCCAAACCGGCTGGAAACTACATAACTACAGAATCTAAAAAGAAGAAAAGATCAAAAGATCAGGACCTGTCAGACGTCCATCCCCACCCACCCCACAACGCCAGCTCGCCCCAAATTAAAGGGGTTCACACACGGCGTCGCAGGGCCGAGATCATAGCCACCACCGCACGAAGCAGAGGCAAAAAGCGGCATCACTCTTGGATGGGGAGGATAAACCTCATCCCCCAGGTTGGAGATTCTGTGGCTCTGGTAAAGAGTTCAGATGAGGCGATTTACTATAGAAATGATCCTATGAAGTAAAATCGCATAGTGAGAGAAGAGGGGGGCGGGGGGAGCGCCCTTTTTATACCGCCTGTAGGCGGTTGTGGGCCTTGGTTTTCGGATTATGTTATCATGGGTGTGACCGCTGCTTTTGGCCGACAGCAGGCAAATTTTTCTTTACCTTGCTATGCCCTGTTCCGCGATTCATATCCTAGCGATAACCTAGCGCTTTAGCTGAGGTTGGAAAGTATCATCTTGAATCTCCTATGGGGACAAACTCGGCCTGGACATTTCGCCAGATGTTGAGAGTTATGTCACAGCTCTTTCGCAGTCTAAAAAAAAAAAAAAAAACAGCCAACTGGGCCTATTAAGTTTGCAATTACACATACAAAAGGAACCACACTAATCCGGCGAAACAACTTGCGACAAAACAGAAAGTCAAAAAACGAATCCTGTAAGATCCAGGTTGAATTAATGGTTCCAGAGGGGGTCGAACCCTCGACCTTGGCGTTAACATTTTTCAATATTAGCACCACGCGCTAACCAACTGAGCCATGGAACCGTGGTTTCGAAACAAACTTTAAAATATATAAACAATTATCATCATAGGTTCTCACTCGGTTCAAGCAATTATGGCGACAAGCGAAGTCTTACCAGCAGTCACGATTGACAAAAATTCGTTTTTTCTATGCTTGGACCATACTGATAGGAATCAAAACCGTATTTTCTGTATGTGTACCTCTGTTTAGGATTCTCAGAAGCCTATCCTTGGGCGGTGCTTGGGTTACAGAGACCAAACCCCGTTATCTTGATTCCACTAAGAAAACACTCGCACAAAGCTCTCGAACATAAACCCTATAAACTTTCAAGTGGGATCCAAAACCCCTCGGGCTATAAACACTGAAGAAGATGTTCAAAACTGGGTTCAACTCTCAAATTTAACCACAGCCTCACCCAAATTAAAGGCAGACACGGCGATGATAGCGATCTGAAGAGAGGTCGGTTTTGCATGCGCACATCCGACACTAAAATGCGCAACCGACCGACTACTTGTCAATGTGGGTGTAAAAAGTCGTCTTATCACATCCCTTATTTGCACCCACATTGACAGGTTATGAGCCCGGGATTGCTGTGTGAATCCTTGGGCAACGTACCTGGCTTTAAATTGAGGTGTATCCATCTCGACGACGTCTGCCATATCGTTGCTTATTAAGCTGTCTAGCTCCTTCTGGTACATTGGGTACGCTGGGGACCCTGCATTGCCTTCCTAATCGTTGAGGGCGTAGTAAGCTCTGTTGACATGGCGTAGCTCTTTCGGGATACGCTCCGAGTGATACTTCGTGTCAGCAGAGCTTACTACGCCCTCGACGATTAGGAAGGCAATGCAGGGTCCCCAGCGTACCCAATGTACCAGAAGGAGCTAGACAGCTTAATACATACGCAACGATACGGCAGACGTCGTCGAGCTACCCCCTGGAGCGCACGAGGTAGGAGGTAAGTGGATTAATGAGCTCAAATATCCCCTCTCAGGCAGCGAGATGGATACACCTCAATTTAAAGCTAGGTACGTTGCCCAAGGATTTATATAGCAATTCCGGGCTCATAACCTGTCAATGTGGGTGCAAATAAGGGATGTGATAAGACTTTTTGTTTTTATGGCCGATGATTTTTATTATATTTCTTCTTTGGCTCTCTATTTTATAGTTATTCAACTTTTCCTTTAGAATATTTGAGAGTTCTAGAAAGTGAAATTTATATAGCCTTTTATGAAATATCCCGAAAATCCAAAGAAATTAATACTGCATGAAAGAGAATAGAAGCGGCAAAGAAAAAGGAAAGAAAAAGGAACAGAGAAAAATCAAAAGAATAAAGAATTTCCCAAATGGGATAAAGAAATGACAAAAAGAAATAGATTTGATTAGTCAACTTTCTTTATTCCAAACCCACCTACCCACTCCCGGTCACCGCCAGCCGATCTTTGGCCCTCTGGATGTCAATCACAGACTGCGAGATTTATTGGCTCATAAGGCGACGGAATACGGGCGCGGCGATATTCACCCGGGAATGGTTTGGCCCCGAGTGATGTTTTATGATCCGCTCCGAGTTCGTCTTGGAGCGTGATAGTGAGTAGTCGGCCGCAGACTATATGCTGCGAGTTGATAATACCACAAGATATAACTACTGCGCAAGACTGCGTAATCCGGGCGTGATATCTATGCCGGAGCCGGGTGTTGCGGAGTCAGGAGAGAACTACCGGAGGCGGTTATATGGATGTCGTATATCGTACCCTGACCACAGAGCTGCTTGAAGGACTTGAGCTCTCATCACAAGCTGCAGGTCTATCTCCGACTCGCACGGTGTGTGGGAGTCCACAGCCAAGCGAGGTAGAACCAGAAAGTTCACCGCCTCTCTCACGCAGAAACGCAGGGTGAACCGCTTCTTCGTCCGGATATCTGAAGGCGTTTCCGCACATGCGCATAATACCCCGGCTTTGCGCAGAGCAGGTCGGATATCTGCGCGGCTTACAGTTTGTTCCGCGCATATGCGCATGCCCGGTCCGCCGCATTCTAGAAAACTAAATAATTTCCCGGTCATGCGCGGACAGAAGGGAGGCGCAATTACGGTAGGAATTTGTGTGAAAACGCTTGAGGTAGCCCTGGATAGGCTTTGGAAACTCGGAGAGGCTAGGTATCAGGCAGTCTCGAACTTAGAAGACGGAGCCCTTCAGTTGCCAAGTTTGGCCGCGAGATTTGATCAGAGAAAAATCCTGCGAAGAATCTTTCACAAGTAGTTAAACCCAACACACCGAAAGATATCCACGATCCTCCAGCCCCCCTTTCCTCACACAACTTAGCCAAAGCCAAAGCTCATTCACAAGCCCGTAACAAAGCTATATTTTCCGTGGAGAAATCTCTTCAAGGAGAATCCCAAGCTTAGTAGCGGTGCCCTTGACCAGTCATATGGCCAGGATCTGTTCTCTACCTGTCGGTGTGTACATAGATCTAGATGAGACGGCACAAAGCTTCATGTGTCGGTTTGTGATCTCGGTTTTGATGTCTCGCTTGAAGTTCCCCCGGCGATCAATTCTAAGCCTCGAGGGAATTGGTCGCAAGTAGCGCCGTGAAGGGCTTTCTTAGCCCATGTCGTCTGGCCCGTGCTCCCCGTGATGCGAAGGCTTGTCCTTCTGGGCGAAGAAGGCATCCCTATCCGCAGACGACGTCGAGACGGCATATGCCGCATTCGCGAAGAGAGGGAATTTGTAGAGCACCAAGACCCTTGGAGGCTGATCGATATTGAGTACCTTGGAGTCTGGGTGGTGCACTGTGGTCTTCTGACCATCTCACAGGTATCCAATTGATTTGAACGTGTTCAATTGATCAAATGAGTATGAAATAGTATCAGGGAAAGGTCCAATGTAGGAATTCCAAAGCTCTGGTCTCTTTAACGCCGTTGAAAAGATGACGCCTTTGCTCATGTAAAATCCTCCCTATCTCCCTCACTTGGCGCCTTCTGGATACTTTCTGAAATCTGATATCATATACCGGCAGGCATCACGTACTATCTCACTCAATTCGAGCCAGTCCATATCCCCCAACGGTGCGTAACCTACGCAGACAGGGGACCTCAAATTGGTGAGAACGAATGTGATATTTGGCAAAATCGATCCCGGTCTACTCTAGGGTGCGTAAGATTCTGTTCCCCCTCCAGCCCGCGGAAAGTGCGCTAGAACATCATTTTTCTGCCTTGCGGGTAGAGCACCGGGAGCTGGAGAAGTGAAGGGCACTCTATTCTCCTCGGGGGCACAGCATCTTGACCCCCACACCCTCAATCAATGAGGTTTATTAGAGTGACAGGATTTTGCTTGTGACTGTTTAAAAGCCTTATATTAGCACTCGCCGGCGGTTCAATTGTCGAATAGAGTTGTTAACGTACCTGAAGCAGGAGTTTTGCATGAGAATCCAAGCCCCCCACCCCCACCACCGGCTTCCACAACGCCATGATGACGATGACAGGGATCGCCTAAAAAAGCCTCTGCTAGTCCCAACGTTAATCCGTAGATCTCGTCTGCAAATTTGCGCATCTAAATAACGCCCGAAATTCAAAAGAAAAGAAAAACTCGTTGCCAAGCCACGGTTCTGTTGGGGATATCACGGAATTACCCCAGCTACTCATGCAGCTCATCGCGCAATTCGCAATTGCTGGGCGATGGACATAGATGATGTATGCATGCACGTCACGAGATGAGGGGTCCTGATGAGGGGGAGGGGCTGCTTTGGACTTTTCGTAGAGCAATTAACCCCGCTCATGATTATGATTAGTTGGCCGCAATTGCAATTGCTAGTTAGGTGGCTTTTCTATATAACTGCTCTCAATTCCTACCTTGGGGGGGTTCTTCTTCTTCTCCCACATCTGAAATCACATATCGCCAGCTTCGACATCTTTGCTTCTGTCAATTGTAATTGATTAGCCATATCCTTCTTTTAGCACACTCCTTCCCTCTTCTCAAACCCATACTAACATTTCCCACAGCACAAACAAAAACAAACAGTATGCATATTTTACTACGGGAAACATGGTATCTTTCACAACATTATTATCTTTAAAGAGTCAAGGTAAAAGTATTCAAAGCATGACGGGTGTTCGGCCACAGCACCCCTCTTCCCCCTTCCCTCCAACTCAGAGTAATTATGGTTCTGAGAGAGGGGAGATGAAGAGGGATCTGCTGTGGCCGTTCTGAGATTATACCGTTAAATGGACTTGATCTAGATAATACTAGCGAAAGAACATGCTTCCCCCTCCGTTGCTTTTCCGGCCCCAAGAGCGCGAAACACTGACCTTTAGCCTCCGCTACAGAACTCACAAAGTAACATTTATACAATGTCTCCCCCAGCTGCTGTCATATCCGCCCCCGTTGAGGCCCACCGCTTCGAGCACCCCTCGACCTTTGTCCAGGATGCCGCCCCAGTCACCAAGACCGCCGAGAAGGTCGACAAATGGGCCGACTTCAAGTTCGAGCACATCCGTGAGTCCACTGTGTCTCGTGCTATGACCAAGCGCTACTTCGAGGACCTCGACAAGTACGCCGAGTCCGACGTTGTCATTATCGGTGCCGGATCCTGCGGTCTCAGTGCCGCCTACACTCTCGCCAAGGCCCGCCCTGACCTTAAGATCGCTATCATTGAGGCCGGTGTTGCCCCTGGTTAGTTCCCCTTCTATATCTATTGACTCTAGAGTCCACCTACTAATCCTTGTAATAGGTGGTGGTGCATGGCTCGGAGGTCAGCTCTTCTCCGCAATGATCATGCGTAAGCCCGCCCAGCTCTTCCTTGAGGAGATCGGCGTCCCCTACGAGGAGGAGGACACCTATGTTGTCGTCAAGCACGCTGCACTCTTCACATCCACTCTCATGTCCAAGGTTCTCACCTTCCCCAACGTCAAGCTCTTCAACGCTACCGCCGTTGAGGACCTCATCACCCGTATCGACCCTGCCACCGGCCAGATCCGTGTTGCCGGTGTTGTCACCAACTGGACCTTGGTGTCGATGCACCACGATGACCAGAGCTGCATGGACCCCAACACCATCAACGCCCCCATCATCATCTCCACTACTGGTCACGATGGCCCCTTCGGTGCCTTCTCTGTCAAGAGACTTCTCTCCATGAACGCCATTGAGAAGCTCGGTGGTATGAGGGGATTGGACATGAAGTTGGCCGAGGACGCGATTGTGAAGGGAACCAGGGAGATCGTCCCCGGTATGGTTGTCGGCGGTATGGAGTTGTCGGAGGTTGACGGTGCTAACCGTATGGGACCCACCTTTGGTGCCATGGTATGTGTATCCTTGTTGTTGTGTCGTTGGTCTGCTGAACCATATGGCTAATGATGTGTTTGATAGGCTTTGTCTGGTGTCAAGGCTGCCGAGGCCGTTTTGGAGGTCTACGACGAGCGTGCTAAGCAGAACATGGAGTAAATCACAACTGCTTGAGGTTTTTTGTTTGACCTAATCCTAGATGGATCGGTCCTGGGAAATTGGTTGTTATTTTTCATTATTATCTGGTATCTGGTTCGGTTATTATTGAGGGAATTCTTTTATAAAAACACAAATATATTTTTTACTGCGTAAAAAAAACTGAAGCTCTCCAATATATATATATATGTGCTGTAATATTGAGATGTCATAATAGTTGACACAATCTGCTTCCCAGGATTGACGGGTATCTCGGTTCGGATTATTAGTGACTCACTAATCTTTCTTTGGACTTCTCCCACATTCTTAAACTTCGAATTCGATAGCTATCTTCTAGGCTCCGTGTCAGTTAAAAAGCGGGGGGAGAGAGAGGTTTAGCTACTATATTAACCCACTCGTTCCACTCCACAGCTCGGTACCATCAGCATCTTTCTATATCCTCACCACAACTCAATAATCCCACTGCAACCACAACCACAACCACAACCCACCCACCATGCCCGCAATGTAACTCCCTCCCCGCCCCGCCCGGCCTCCCCCACCACTAACACCTCCAGGCTCGACGACCCCACCGCGGCCACCCTCCCCGCCCCCACCCCCACCACAACACCCACCCCAACACCCGTCACCCTCCGCGACGGCACCCCCGCAACCCTCTACCCAATCCTCACCCCCGCCTCCCTCCCCACCTCCCTCGTCACCTTCCTCGCCGCCCAGTTCAACGCCGAGGTCGAACGCGGCGACACATATCCGCACGACCAGCCTCTCGCGCCGGAGCACTTCCGCGAGTACTGGTTTGGCGCGTTTGGCGCGGTCTTGCTGCTCGGTGCGTATGAGGAGGGCGTGCTGCAGGATGAGGGCAGGGACTGGGCGGAGTGTTGTCTCGGCACGTTTTATGTCAAGCCGAATTACCCCGGGAGGTGCGGGCACGTGTGTAATGCGGGGTTCCTGACGATGCCGGCGGCGAGGGGACGGGGGTGTGGCAGTGTGATGGGGAGGGAGTATTTGGTGGTTGCGAAGCAGCTGGTGAGTCCTCCTTGGGGTGCGGTGTGCGGTGTTGTGCGGCGTTGTGTGGTGGGTGCTAACGAGAGGCGGGGGGGCGGGGAAAGGGGTACACGTACTCGGTGTTCAACCTGGTGTTTGAGACGAATGTGGCCTCGCTGCGCATCTGGGACGGGCTGGGGTTTGAGCGGATTGGGAGGGTGAAGGGCGCGGCGAGGTTGAAGAGCTATCCGGGCAGGATGGTGGATGCGTTTATGATTGGGAAGGATCTGTAGGTGGGTGGGGTGGTGGTGGTTGTTGGTGGGGAGTTGGGGGTTGGAGGGTGAGGAAATGAGGGCGGGATCGAGTGGGCGTGGGTGGAGATGGTAGATGGTAGACGGTGCTCCTGATGTTCCTGTTGAGTATCGATGGTGGAGCGTTGGTGGTGATGAGATGTGTGTGAGCTACATGTAGCTACTGTATGGAACTGGGCCAGCCAGCCAGCTAGCTAGCTGGGAAGAGTATGTGGGGATCGGGGATCAAGAAAGCTTACCACTACAAACTTTTAATAGCGGCCCAATCAAACCGCACCTACCTACTACTCTACTCTTTGAAATCGAGATTACATGCGGCTCTCTCCACTCCACTCCACTCTGCACTCTCCTCTCTCAACTATTCTCCCCACGATCATTGGTACATTCATTCGCGGCCAATAGTTGTTCTGCTTTGGGTAGAGTATAAGAGTAGCACAACATGTATTGGCCGATATTAATAGCCCTGCTCGTGGGGCCGAAAACAGAAAACTATTCCTGCCAGATGAGTAAGCCGACCGAGTGACAGCGCGTGAGCCATGTAGTAGAGGTTGTGTATGAAGTATTAATAACCCGCCCGACCACTTCACTCGAGAGGCGGATAAAGATAAAGATAAAGCCTTGAGTTCAGCCTTGTAGTTATCTACTCTACCCCCTCCGCTCGGATGGCAGTAGCCGTCCTTCTAGCTAGAGTACATTACATGTAGGTATGTACATTGTGCGACTCGGGTATTGGTTGGTTTTGCTTCATCTTGGCCTGTAGGCCAAGGTACTTGGACGGATTCGAAGCAGCAGGTAGAGTGGGAAGCAAAGCAAGCTTTCTGTAGCACAACGGCTTGAATCCCAGAAACCGGGCAGCGGGACCCATTGGCAATTGCGAGACTGTCTCTGCGTGTCTTGTTTTTTGTTACTCTATTTATGTATGTATGTAGGCAGGTAGAGTACTCTACTCTACCCTATTCGGGGCTGCTTCCTGGCCCGGCGCGGCTATTTGCCTTTTTTTCCTTCCCCCTTCATGAAATCATGAAGTCACTGCACTTGCACATGTAGCTAGAGTACCTACCTAGAGTAGGCAGGTAGGCAGACTGAACGGTAAAGTCTCGCCAGTCAGTCAGTCAGTCAGTCGGCCAGGCCGTATATCCGGGCGCGGCTTGCTTCGGGCCAAACCTAATCGTTAGATAACGGTTGTGCTCTGATTCGGCCATTTCTGCTTCTTATTCACTTTTGTCAACAGCCATGGCAGTGCAGTGCGGTACGGTGCGGGGAAAAGCGAAGGGTGGGAGAGAGAGGCTCTTAAAGCCTGGGGTGTGTGTGGTAGAAGGGAAGACAGGAACCCCCAGCCAATCTGTAACGCGTTACACAAGGCCTAGCACAAACACGGCTGTGTTTGGCGAAGCGTGGGCGATCTGTAGGCTGGGTAGGGTAGGTACTTAGAAGTTAGGGTACGGTTGCTAGGTTACCGGTGCGGTACTTTGTTAGGCGAGGTAGGTTGTTTGCGCACTAGGATTAAGCTTAATGAGGGGCAATTGGGGAGCGCCTTTGTGGGAGGAGCAAAGAGGATGTTCTTTTGGGCGGTGGCTGGCTGGGCTACATAGAGAATACATAATAGAGTCTGTGAATTAAGCATCGCAGTCTTACAGAGAGGGAACAGAGAGGCACGAGAGAGCGAATGGAATGGGTGACTGACTCTTTGTGCGACGCTGTGCAGCGCCAGACATACGATCCGGCAGGGATGGGGGACAATTTAACCATGAGAGTAACACTGTGTAACCAGCGAGGTAGCGCTAGGCCTTCCTGTGATAGGCCAATCCCGCCCCAAAGTGCTGTAAATACGAAAGGGAAAAGAAAAGTGAAGTGTTGTTGTGTGATGTTATGTGTGCAGGTGTCCTTAAATAAAGCCCTGTACGTGTGGGATACATCTCAACAATTGTCTTAGAAATCTCCGGATCCCCTTTTTCGGCTTCTGTGTCTTCCTTTTCTTCTCCTGATCTCCCACCCCCCCCCCCCCCCTTCCTCTCCGTCACTGCCTCCTTCTTCCCCTTCTCTCCCTTCTTTCCTTCACTTTCTCTTCGTCCATAATAACTGCGTCCCCGCTGCGTTGTGGTTGTGGTTGTTACCTTTCTCTCGGGACCATCATAAGAAGCGTGAGCAAGGACCGGAGGAACGACCAGCCCAGAACCGTGAGAAGAAAGGAAAAAAGAAAGGAAAAACAAGGGAAAAACAATATATCCAAACTTCAGCCCATCCAAATCGGAACACCGCATTCACCAGCACCCACCCACAATGCGGCCATTAACGCTCCTCCCCTCCATAGCGTTGCTAGCGCTCACCGCCTCCGCCTCCTCCTCTCCCAGCGCCCTCACCACGCCCACGCCCACCGCCGCCTCCGCCCTATCCCCGCCCACCGCCGATGCCCCGCTCCCCACCAACCTCCCCACTCTGCAAGAGCTCAAACGCCGCAGCGGAGTCCCCGCCCTGGCGCTCAACAAGCGCCAGTACACCTGCCCCGCGAGCTATAGCAACTGCAATGACGGCTACTGCTGTGCGTCAGGCACCACCTGTATAGGCAGCGGCATCTGCTACGACTCGTCATAGTCAATCCCCCCCCCCCCCTTCTGCATTTTTATATTTTTGATATCTGTCACTGACACCTTCATTCCCGCCAACAGCTCAAACAGCGACGCAATGCTCTCCTCAATGCTGGCAGACTATACCACAAACGCCTACTACTCCTCCATCTACAACTCCTACCTCTCCCAAATGGGCATAAGCACCGAGGCCGCAATCCCCACCGGCTTCTCCGCCAGCCCCACGGGCACCGGCTCCTCCTCCTCCGACACATTCTACGGTGACTCCTCCTCCTCCTCCTCCTCCTCCACCTCCTCCAGCAAAAAGTCAAAGAAGAAATCCAACACCGGCATGATCGCCGGCATCGTCGTCGCCGTCGCCGTTGTCGCAATCCTCGCCCTCGCCGCATGGTTCTTCATCCGCCGCCGCAACAGGAACAAGGCCGCCGCAGCGGCAATGAACCCGCCGCAGCCCCTCATGACAACGGTCATGCCGCCGCCGCCCCCGTCGCAGCCGCCGACGCCAGGCCCGTACGGAGGATACATGTCGACGCCGCCGCCCCCGCCGCCAATGCAGGACCAGAAGCCGCCCGGGGTTGGATACTTTGGGGCCGGGCAGCCGCCGCCGCCGCCGGCGGGCATGGTGGAGGCTGTTGGCGACTCGGCGTACTATCAGCAGCAGCAGCAGCAGCAACAGCAGCCACAGCAGCCACAGCAGGATTATAGCCAGCAGCAGCAGCAGTATAACCAGCAGCAGTATGGGCAGCAGCAGCAGTACGGCCAGCAGCAGCAGCAGTATGGGCAGCAGCAGCAGTATGGGCAGCAGCAGATGTATAGCAATACGACGCCTAGCACGGTTAGTGCGCAGAGCCCCGGCGTGGCGCCGAGTGAGCTGGGGGGAAGTCAGCATATGATTAGTCCGCAGGTGACGGGGTCTACGACGGCGGGGATGGGGGGTATGGGTGGTATGGGGGGGCATCAGCAACCACCGCCGCCCCCGCCGCCGCCGCAGGGGCAGGTGTATGAGATGCATGAGGACAATTATAGGTCCATGTAGGATGGAAGCATAGGGTTTAGAGGGGGAGGGGGGGAGTAAGGGAGGCGGGCCTTTTTTTTTATATAATTTCGTGACGGTGTAAATGTGAATGAGCTATTTTTATGTAGAAGGACATGGCATTGTGTTTTTCTTGTGTTTTTTTTTTTTTGTTTGGATGATGGATTTGGTTTGGTGATGCAGGCAGGCAGGCAGGTGCGAGATCGACGACAGGATACCTAACTTTAACTTATACATGTACCCATGCTACACCTATGTGCTGAGGCCGTTATTCACATGTCTTTTTTTGTTTTCTATTTATTTTTATTTATTTTCATGTTACCTCTGGCTGGCTAGCTGTCTGTCTGGCTGTCTTGTCTGTTGGGCTAGTTGTTGGGCTGGCTGGCTGGATGGTTAGTTAGTTGTCTGTCGGATCGGTCTGGATGGCGGTCTGTTGGTCTCGCTGGCCGGTTCCTTAGCACGCAGCGCATTGCGAGAAAGATAAAAAAAAATTTAATTCTTACCCCCTACCTACGGCTCGGTCCAGTCTGGTTCAGTTCGGTTCATTATGCTTCTCGCGCGGTGTGTACCTGCTTGTGTCTGTCTGTTGTCATGCAAGGTCCAAGGAGAAGAAGGGGGAGGAGGGAGCCCTATATCTACGTTACGTTTCACGCGCGCGCGGGTGATTGGGCGTTCGCGCTCCCACGTGAACGGGATATGGTCCCTGCATGGAGAGAGAGTTAGAGCCTAGTAGTCAATTCAGTCGTTTTAGCAGTCAATTCGGTAGGAGGCTAAAACCGCGGTTCGGTTCGTAGAAGAAGCAGCAGCAGAGGAGGTGGTGGATGTAGGACGTTGTGGAGAAGGAGGTGGTCAGTAGAGTGTAGAGTGTACCTGCGTCGGATGTAGGTACGTGAGCATGAGGTGGTCAGTTAGGTACCTAGTTCAGTCGCGTCGGTCGGGTGTCTGCAGGGGGCAGACAGGTGGTATGGTATATGTACAGCGAGCTTGTTTCGCAACGCTTCCCTTCCCCCCCCGAGAGAGCGCAAAAAAAGCATCCGCGGGGGGAGGAGGGAGAAGTAGGACGATGGTGGTGGAGCCCGAGGGGGGTATTTAAGCCATGTCGTTACTGTGGTTTCAGATCTTTGACGGATCTACAATACTTAGGCTACCCCTTCCCTACAGGTAGAGTCGTCCCAGGTACCAGAGACACTGCCGGGGAGGGGGGGGGGATCAGGATCATATCGTTCATATCACGGAGTGGACACGTTGTTTCGTTGTTTGGAGTGCGGGTGGTGGGGGAGCGGGTGCTGGGCGTGATTGGGGTGGTGGGTCCTGGTAGATATAGGTATTAGATCTTGTTCTTGTTCCCCGTATTTATTGTAGAGGAGGTAGGTGGAGTACCTACGTAGGGCGGATCAGATCTAGGTACGTAGGTGTTACTGATTATCTAGCATCAGCTGTTTTCAGAACCCCTGCCCTAGCTGGAGGGGAATAGCAGTAGAGGCAGCTTGCCAAGGCTCACTCACTGCTGCACTGGCTTACAGTAACCGCTTACTGCGTTGCGGATCACTGGAGTAGGGTAGAGTAGCTACTAGTAGCCCTCCGCCGCGGGACCTAGTACCTACCCAGCTTGGCAGAAACAACCCGGCGAGCGAGCTCTCTACCAGAAACACTCACACACACACACACTCACACACGCGTGACGTAAAGAAAGCACTGGCCAATGATCGGATATGCACCTACGTGGAGGAGGGGGTGGGGCGGGGGTTTCTATTTGACAGCCAGCCCTTTTGAATTTTTTTCCCATTCACTCACCCCCCTCCCCCCGGCCGGGGCCCGGGCTGGGCCAGTGTAAATAGGCCACGCAGGTTATTATTTTTCCTGGGGAGGCTCCAATTCGGCTTGTGTTTATTTTTTTGGTCGTTGCTTTCGACAAAGATCAAGGAAGAAGGAGTACGTCTTGGTGCATGGATGTAGAGTGGTAGTGGTAGATAGATGTAGCTTCCGGTGGAGGATGTGGATGTGGATGTGGATGTGGATGTGATGTGGGTGTAATGCGTTTGCAATCCGCCTAAGCACCAAGCACCCACCAACCCCCCCCCCCCCCCCTCTCTCTTCCCGCAGCTGGGAAAAAAAATACTCGGTTTTTTGTACAAAAGTGTCACATACTTCTTCTCCGCCTGCCTGCCTGCGGAGGGAGGGAGGAAAGGGTGCTAGGTGTGAAGCTTAAGTTCGACTTTTTATTTCTTTTACTACCACTACTACTACTGTTGCTACTATTGCTACTATTGCTATTACTATTTTACTAGTACTGCTACCGCTTCTAGTACTGCTCCCGTTGCTGCTGCCGTTGCTGCATCTAGTAGTTCATCCCATTCATTCATCGATCGATCCATACTGAAAAAAAAGAGAACCTGTTTCCGTCAGCACTTTTTTCTGCCCTTATCTGCTCACGATAGCTCAGCTGCTGCTCCAATCTTACTCCGTACATTACATACATTACATAACTCTCCACCCTATTACCCACCACACCCACCCACCAACCTACCCGGGCCCAGACACCCCCCCCCCCCCAAAACCCCTCCCTCCCTCCCTCCCATATAAACATTGTGAATGATCCTGCTCGAACACCGCGAGCGTAAAGAACGAGAAGGCGACGACCGCATATCCCCGACCACGATCATCACTGTAGCCGTATTCCTCGCAATCCTCTTCATCCTCCTCATCGCCGGCATGGTGTTCTGCTGGCGCAATCCGCACTGGCTGTCGGCGTGGCGGCGGAAGGCCGCTGCCGCCCAGGTAGACGCCAATGCCACGGCCCGCGCAAAGGGCCTCGGCATCGAGGGCGCCGGAGACCTGGAGGAGTCCCGGCCAAACACACAGAGGTCGGACATGAGCTATGCTGATCTTGCACGGGAGAAGGAGCTGCGCAGGGAGGACGACCACGCAGTGATGCCGAGCAGAGAGAAGGATAGCTCGAGGGTGGATGTGACTACTGCTGCTGCTGCTGATGATGCTCATACTGCTTTTCCCAAACCCGTGGCGAGCTTGGGAACCCCGAGATTGGCAATGTCCAAGGCGATAAGATATGTCACAAAGGATGCACAGTACCTCTCTATATTCCAGACATTCTCAAAGTCCCCGTCTGCAAAGGGGACGCCCAATATCGCCCCGCCGCGGGTGCTGCCGCCGCAGCTGTCCCCGCGGAAATACGGCTTCCGCAGCGCACGATCTGCAAAGAAGGGAGGCACAGGGCCCAAGCTCTCAATATCAGCCCCTGTATATGGCGATCTCCCGCCACTAACCCTGTCGCTGCCGACCATGACGCTGTCGTGGACAAACTACGAGGATGGGACGGGCCCGGAGCCGATAAGTCCCAACCAGTCTGAGCTGGTGTTCTCCGACTGCGTGGAGTCGCTGTCGGATGCGGAGGATGCGGAGGAGGTGTCGACGGTGGACTATGAGGCGTTTTCGTCGCGTGGCGGGGAGTTCAGTGATTATCGCCGGGGCAGTAGCGGGAAGAGGTTGTCGTTTCATAGCCAGATGAGCGGCGTGAGTATTTTGTCGACAGATACAGGAAAGGTTAGTTTTGCGCAGGTCGCGATGAGGCCAGAGTCGAAACCGACATTGCAGATTATCGGACCGAGCGAGAGCCCAAGGAAGGTGGTGGTTGTACATTATGAGTAGTAGTAGGTGACGGGGTTGTGGACTTAGCTGGTGTCAGGTAAAAAAAAAACACCCCTGCCGAGTGAGTATTCATGATTCTGGGAATGCTTGAGTTGACGCATTTCAATTTTGTGTAACAGGAATCATTTCTATTCTCCAACATTACGATCACCTGAATCAGCTGTTTTCGTCCTAAAAGACTGTCACCACAATTTCATCAGATAGAATTAAGGGTATGCAGAAACAAACCTACGAAATCAAATGACACTGGAGAGCCTTAAAACTAACTCGGACAACCAAACAGATTCTACAAATATTCTATTATATATCTCCTTTCTATTTTTTTGTATTATACACATCTGGTGCTGGCGTTATGGTTGCGTTTTTTATGTATATTTTCAATATTAGTTTACGGATACGGAGTCTCATGGTCAATCGTTTCTGGGAGGGGGAGTTCATTACATACCACATTAAGTCTATATAACTAACTGCTCATAAGCTCTTTCTCTCTTTTTTTTTTTTCTAATTCATGTTTTCTGTTCGATACTTAGCATCTTTCCCTCAAGTCTCCTATCGATATCATCCTGCGATATTGCTACCCCACACTACTGCACCTGTTAGTTATTTCCAAATCAAAACATGAGCACCACGCCATTTACAGGCGTTCATCTGCCAGGACTAGATTCCATGGACATCCTACCCTCTCCAATGCTCCCAGTGCCCGAACCCCAAATCTTTGACCCAGCCCGTTTTACCTACCCCCTACACGTATGCCTGATGCACTCCGGCGGGCGACTACCCATTGTCGTCGATATGCGGGCATATTCCTACACCTACAGCGTAAGCCTCCCACATCCCCCCCCCCCCCCCCTTTACCCTAGTACCCCCCCCCACTCACCCCCCCCATAACCAGACCGCCTGCCCACTCATCAAACGCTCCTGGCACAGCGCCAACCTCGACCCCGTCCCCGCCTCCGCCCCGCTCATCCTCACCACCCGCCTCGGCCTCGTCCTCAACAGCAAGAACTTCTGGCGCTTCCACGCAACCAAGGACGCCTGCCTCGCGTGGTACGGCGCCGCCTCCATCGACACCCTCGTGCAGCTCGTGACGGCGAAGCGGTCGGCGCTGAGCGCCCACTTCCACCATCTGGGTGTCACCACCACGGCCGCGTTTTTCGCGCCCCGCGATGCGGACGACGCCCCGCCGCACCCGTACCATGAGAGTATCCCCTGGGTCCACCGGTGGGCGGCGCTGTATGAGCGGGAGGCGAATGGGTCGCTGGGGAGGGCGTGGGGCGCGCAGGATCCTAGGTCGTATTTGAGGGCGCTCGTGAAGGAGGATGGTGAGGAGGGGTTGGGGGAGGAGGAGGAGGCGGTGGTGGAGATGTTTGTGAGCAGTGGGTGGGGGAGGATTAGGAGGACGGAGGAGTATCGGGCGATGATGCAGAGCATGTGGGATGGTCGGGCCGCTATGGGAGAGGAGGGTTATGTCGACTGTACGGTGGGCAGCGAGCTGCTGCCCGTAGGGGATGGGGGTGAGACTAATGAGGGTGATGCTGTTGTTAAAGAGGAGGGTGATAGCTTTGATGATGATGATTTCTATGGTGATGATATGAAGGTGGAGGAGGGATAGAATTCGAGCTGGTCTGGAAATCGTGCTGTGCTTTGTGTTTACTTGGTAATGGTTGGTAGTTTTAATGTTTGGTTGTTCAACGTTTTTATACTTTAATGTGGAATAAGGAATCAATTCCCCGACGTACTCTCACCATACAGAGCTGTGCTCCTCCGCCGCTTCTTGAAATGTGAACCTGTGACAGTGACAGTGACATTGGCATTGGCATTGGCATTGGCATACAGTATTTACGTGGCCAAGCTAGACAGAGAGCGGGCTTGTCACCCACAGCACAGCCATGCGCGCGTGTGGCTCTAGCAAAGGCAGATTGTACCAAACCCCCCCGTTCTTCGATCCTCACCCGACTACTCTATCGAACCTCACTCGCCCATTTTGATCTTCACAGCGCCACATGCACACCACATGCACACTTCTCGGCCTGCATTGCTTCACAGACTATCACTCGGTCCATCTAGACATACGCCACACAACGAATCCAGCACAACACGACCCAAGCCAAGAAAGAAGATACTACATATACTCCTTACACATCAAAGGCAAGTGCGCGCGCATCCACCCGTTACAAACCAGCATACCCGCCAGCCCCCCCCCCCCCGTTGATCACGAATTCTCATCCTCTCACCCTCGACCCTCCCTCCTACCTACCAACCACCCACCACCCACCAACCACCCGGCCAGCCAAAACATGAACGAGATCACTGTGTCGAGCTCATATCCGCGTGGATTGCACTCTATCGGAAACCGATAGAGCTCAATGCTCCTGGCACCGGCTAACAAGCAAGATCTGCAGTCATGGTATCACAGAAGTGGTCCTCGGAGCCTCTTCTCATATCCCAAATTTCCTGTTCCGGCCATTTGTGCTGGACCGCGATCTGGACTGAAACTCAATCCTTAAGGTCCCCCGGCCGCCCTGGAATTACCTCGGGTCGACTGAATTGTAGAGGTACAAGTTGTTACAAGTGCATTCTAGGAACCCATCATCTATGATAGATCGGTGATCCACACGAATGATAATGGTATGAGTTTTTTTTTTTGGGGGGGGGGAATAGAGTAGAAATGTTGTTAGTAAGGGAAATAAGAAAAAAGGGAAATGACAGGAACCTCATTAAAAAAAACCCATGTGAAAAAAAAAAGCCGTTCCTGGCCCAATCGGGCCCAGCCGGCTCGAGTGATTCTTCTTAGCATGTGATCCACTCGACCACTCTAGAATACATATATGCGCCAGGTAACAAGCACCCGAAAAATGGCAAGCCTTGATCTGCAATTGCTATTGGAGCAGAAGTGAAAAAAAAATAAACCAAACCCTTGCAGCTGCAATTTTCGGGTACCTACTTATTACCCACCGCTGCTACACACAGTACTGTGGTACAGCCTGGTAAAGTACTATATACTAGGAATATAGACCACTGCATATATATGAGGTCGTATATAACAATGGTAGGTAATACAGTATAATCTCCTTATAAGGGTACGTCAGGACCGAAATTTGGTACTTGATAGAGCCGTTACCCTTATAGGAGGAGCAAATTTGTACCTACGAATTAGCCCAATGGGAATGGGGACCCCAAACACCTACCCTTATAAGGAGATTGTACTGTAACTTACTAATAAGGCCGATCATAATATATACATACTTACCAAGAGCTAGCTCTGCACCTTGCAAGATCTCTTCCTCTCCCCCCCATCTACTCGCAAAAAGAAGCCCCCAGATAATCGATCGTCCATTGCAGTGTCCGTAGTCTGTAATTATCACCCCCCCAAAAAAAGCCCGTTTTGTAGCTGCCGCATTCAAGTAAAAATTACACTCTGTCCGCAACGAGATGTATTTCAAGATCGAATCAAGGCGCTAGCACATACTCATACCGTGCACACCCCCGACCCGACCCGACCCGACCTGCGCCATGAATTATCACTCGGCACTTTCCACACGACAGCCTCCGTGCCACAGTCCCGACTGCGATCCGTATTCCCCGATATACAGTCGGCTCCTGTGCCATCCATCAACCTCTGTTTCTCCGCACCAGAATATCACAGCCTCTTGCATATACTCTCTCCTTCACCGTGGCCAGGGGAGATACGTCCCCACAATGGGAGGGTCTCCGGTCTCAAATGCCGTAGACTACGTATACATGACCACAACCCCCCATGCGTCCGGCGCCATAAGGAGTGGTCATGGCCAACTACACGACTTCGGAGGCCATCCCACCCGCAGTGCGGAAGCCAGGGAGAAACGCCACCGGGGTGCTAACGCCGTTTGAGTGGAAGATTCCCGGTTGGTTGGGTTTGGGTGTTTCTTTAAGAAAGAACCGAACGTCTAACCCCTCTCATAGCTGCTTAGGTGGCTGTTCTGTTGTTTTTAACGACAGTCTGATCTGCTTCAGTTTGGCCCTTATGACCAGTCCACCAAGATACGCTGCGTGATGTCTCCCCAGGATGCATCTGTGATATGAGCGGTTTCATCGAGATATGCATACACAGAGCGGATAGATAACGCCGCCGCGCAGTTCAATGTCTGGCTTGATATATAGCGGGCGTGAGATTCGATTGTTCCTGGAAATAATCGAGGGTCGTGTGGTCGGGCCGGTATTTTGCCGTTTTTTTTTCGTGGCAGGTCCGGAGGTTTGTTTACCAGACGCCGACGTGCGCGTCTTGGGGAAACAACGGCATTGCTGTCTGTCTGTCTGTATGTGTATGTGTGTGTTTCGTAAAGCCTCCCATTGATCAAGAGATCTGGCAATGTGTTCGTTTGAGTCTCAATGGGAGATGTGGCAGCTGCTAGCCTGCCATCATTGCAATTGAGTCTCAGTGGGAGATGTGGCAGCTGCTAGCCTGCCATCATTGCAATTGAGTCTCAGTGGGAGATGTGGCAGCTGCTAGCCTGCCATCATTGCAATCAATTGAGTACTTATAACGCACCCTCCACTCCGCTCCACTCCACTCCACTCCACTCACCGCATCCTCCTCCATCTCCATCGCCATCCCAGCCATCTATCTACTACCATCTATCTCCCACCTATCATATCACACCATGGCCCCTAGCTCCAGCTCCAGCTCCAGCTCCTCCAGCTCCTCCCACAGCGTCTCCACCGTCGACAGCAGCTGCCCCGACCTCTCCGCAGCGCTCCACGAGGCCATCCACACCAACCCACCCATGTTCTCGTCGCCCGGCTTCGCGGGCAGCTCCCGGCACCCGCGGCAGCAGCACATCCCGGACTACACCCGCTCGGGGACGGCTGGCACCCCGCCGCCGTACATTGTGGATGAGACTGCGCCGCTGAGGCCGCTGGGAGACAGGTATGTGGCTGCGTGTTGTGTGTGTGTGTGTGTGTGTGTGTGTGTGTGTGTGTGTGTGTGTGTGTGTGTGACGTGGGCTGACTTAGTTCTTGGTGGTGGTAGTGACTATGAAGGCGAGACACGGAGGGGGTGGAGGGAGGTGGTGAGGCCGTGGGTGCAGGCGGTGCTGCTTCTGCTGGCGGGGCTGGCGGCGGCGACGGTGGCGGTGGTTTTTGTAGTGTTTATTATCTGTTGCGTTAAGGCTTGGGTGGGGTGAAGCAGACGGCTAGAGGTGAGGCGAGGCGAGGGTTGTACGTTGTGTGTTGGAGTTGAACAGCATGTGGATGTGGATGTGGCAGCATGTGGATGTGGATGTGGATGTGGATGTGGTGGGTGCTACGTGCATGGACTGCTGCGTTTGTGTATGATAGTTCGGGGTCTGTTCCACTTGTGCAGGCGGGCTTCTTCTTCTTCTCGCCCGCTTGGCGTTTCTGTGATCTGGACCGATCTCGACAGACGCGCAGTAACTAGCGATCGTTGGGAGCTGCATTGAGTTGAGTCTTTTTGCCTTCGGATGCAATTGAGCAGTGACGCGTAATCAGAATCAGAATCGAGGGCCAGTCCAAGTGCTTCCCCCCCCAATGCAGTGGTGATCTGCAGACGCTGTTGGACAGATTTACGGTCAAGCGTTAGTCATACAGTAGACGCGTGGAATTGCCGAGACAGGCGCAGCAAAAGGAAACGTAGCGATAGCGCCAGCAACAGTTCGTTTAGGTGTCCAGATCATGGATTACCTCTAGCTAGTTTTCTTTTGTCTTATCATCATCATCATCATTCGAATATACATCATTGCTCTCGTTTTGTCTTGATCGAAGTTTTATTCATTCTCGTATCTTTCGAATCGTCGTCGAAGAAGAGTGAATACAACAACCGGCCAACAACGCATAGCAACCACAATTGCAACGCCCAGCCCAACGCGTCTCCCACGACGAGGCATCGACAGACGTCCCCAGCTCTCCTCCACCACCACCAGCCCAATTGCTCACTCAACCTCACGATACCCAAGCCTCCGAGATATCGACAGACTCTCGCTCCCCTCCACCAGCCCAATTGCTCACTCAACCTCACGATACCCAATTGCAAGCCTCCGAGATATCGACAGACTCTCGCTCCCCTCCACCAGCCCAATTGCCCAGCCTCACGATACCCAAACCCAAACCCATCGCAATGGCGCCCCAAGTGCCACGAGTCTTCCTGCTCCCCAAGAACGACGCCTCCACGCCCTTCACGATCGTCACCCTCCCGCACCCACGCACCTCAGTCCCCACCCGCTTCCTCCTGCACGGGTCCACCGGCCTGCACGAGATCACAAAGATCGTCCCCGCCTCCTCCGCCCCGCGCTCCTGGCTCCTCGCCCCCACCACCGACACCGACACCGACACCAAAACCAAAACCGCCGACACCTGGCTCGGCACCGGCCAAACCCTCTCCGACGCAACCCTCTACCTCACAACCCCCTACGACCCGCTCTTCCTCCTCCTCCCGCTCCTCCTCCCCCCCGTCCCCACGCCCACAAGCACGCTCTACCAGCCGCTCGACGACCTCCTCGACGCCCTCGCAGAGTCGGAGGCCGGGGCAGAGGAGGGCGCAGAGTACCATTGGGCAGCGGTCCTGGCGGCGCCGCGCTGCAGAGCCGTCCTTGAGGCGCGGGTCAAGGCCATCAGCGAGACCACTACCCCCGCCACCGGCGCGTACCGCCCCGCGCTCGCCCGTGCCATGGCGGTGCTGGCGAAGAAGTGCGAAGCCATGGCAGCCCCGGCGTTGCCGGGGAGCATGGAGGCGGCGGCGGTGGGCCGGGCGTTGTCGGCGGGGGGCGCGATGGGCGTGGAGGGCGTTGTCGCGGGCGTCGAGAGGCTGGGTGTCTCTGCTGACAAGGATGCAGCGGACGCAGCGGAGGACGAGCGGCTGCGGCGGCTGCTGCGGCTGCGGACGGCGGCTGAGTTCCTGGGGGGCGCGTATCTGGCGGCGCATCATGCGGAGGCGCTGATGGTGTTTTTGGCGGGTCGGTGGGATTTTGGGGCGGTGGAGGTGCGGGTGGGGGAGGTGCGGGCGGCGAGGAATGAGGTTGCGGTGTTGAGGAGTGGGGATTTCGCTATTGGGGGTGGGAGGGGGGGTGGCGGTGGGGGTGGGGGTGGGGAGAAGAAGCGGAGGAAGAAGAAGGAGGAGGAGGAGGAGGAGCGGAAGAAGAGGGCGCCGGCGGCGAGTAAGGCTGTTAGGGATCTGGGGAAGGTGAATACGAGGGGGATGGCGAAGATGACGAGCTTTTTTAAGAAGAAGGAGACGTAGCTGGGATTTTTGTGTTGTGGTTTTTTTCTCTTTCCTTTTTTGTGGTTTGATGCGTGATGGTGGCTGTTGGTAATGGATGTGAATACCCCCCCCCCCCTTGTTTTCCGTTTTTTTTTTTTTTTTTTTTTTTTTTTTAGATAGCTTTCCAGTTTGCGGCGCGCAGGGCGGGAATGGGATGGGATGGGATGGGATGGGATGGGATGGGATGGGATGAAAAGTACATGACATGGACGTTAGTAGTCCCGTAACTACAAGTAGCCAGGCAGTTGGACCCCCGTGCATGTCGCTGTGACATATAATTCCCGACAGTTGCACAATCCGAACCTTCACATCCTGCCAGGTGCAACGAGTGATACATCATGACCCCAATAAAACTGACACTCGGCCGATGACTGCCGAGTGATACCTTATGATCTAGAAAAGCAAAAACCATTGCTAACCATTGGCGGCGCGGCATACACGATCGGGGCCATTAATTAATTTGCAAATCGATGCAAATGCAAATTAATGATTGAGGAAGAGAAAACAAGACAAAGAAAAACTTTATTTTTACTTGTGCTTTTGAATTTATACAGCGGGCGGGCGATATCGCTCCACAAAATCCTCCCAAAACCGCAAACAATTGATAACAGTTAACAACCGTACCGCCCCCCCCCAAATTTTACAGCCCAACAACGTCCATTACACGCAATTGATCCAACGTACAACCAACAAAACAAAACATAACACCACCTCCACCCCACCTGCATCTTCCCCTTCCTCCCCTTCCTCCCTTCCTCCCTTCCTCCCTTCCTCCTTCCTCCCCCCACCTCTCCTTCCTCTTCCTATCCCCCCCCCTGCAGAATCCTCCAGCACGCCATCCTCAGCGGGCCCCTCGCCGCCACCTCCCTCCTATGCAGCCCCCTCCACCACTGCAGCGCGCAGTCCCCACCATACGCGCCCCTCTTATACAGGCGCAGCCAGCGCAAGACGCGCACCACGCGCCCCCACCACCCCGTCCGGCGCGCGGGCGGCGGCGGCGGGGGCGGCGGCCGCGGGATGGCGATGTCGACGGCCCGCGCGCGCAGGAGGTTGGTGTCGGTGGGGGCGGTGGGTGTGCGCGTGCCGGTTGTGGGGCGGGGCGCGGGGAGCCCGGCGGGGTCGGGGCGTGTGAGGTGGGCGGGGAGGAGGGGGGGGAGGCCGGTGGTGCGGTGGGTTACCATGGTGTGGTGGTGGTGGTGGGTATGATAGATTCGATGAGTATGCTGCAGTGGTGGCAGGAGTGGTGTCTGGGAGGAGGAGGGGAGGTGCGTGGATTGAGGGCGTGGGATGATATATGGTGGCTCTTAAACTTGGGCCACTTGTTCGTTGGGTGCGGGTGATGGATGGATATATGTGGAGTTTCGGAAAAAGGCTACATGATATGTAGAGCAACATAACTTGAGTATATGTATCGTGTTAGTTCTGAGCATGCAGCTAAACAAACGTATGTACTCTGATCATGATCAGATAAACCTGTTCACTCCCAGCGAGTGTTCCCCCCCCCCCCCCCCCCCCCAAAACCCCCGTATATAAACCTCGGTGATAATATAATAACCGTCAGGCACTCGAATACTCTATAAAACGAGCAGTACAGTTCTCGTGGGTGATATGCTACATGACGATTCCCTCACATATGTAGGCGATGCATACGCGTGTGTACTTACTTAGCAGAATCCCCAAAATGGGAGTAAAAACAGTCGCTGAGTTGTATATATAAAGTCTGGCCACCACCAAGTCATGCAAGACCCTTCCCAGCGGCGAAATAAAACTTTCTCTTCTCCTCGCGGTTTCTATATAAGACACCGCCACTTCTTTCCCTTTTTTCTCTTCTCTCCGTATATGGGCGCTCTCGATCGGCCGCTGTAGGTTCGATCTTATCTGCCTCAGCCCCCATAGTACACCCCCCCCCCCCAAAAAAAAAAAACACTATCTAGTATACTCATACTAAGTAGCAATTCTACTGGTATGAGGGGCATATTTCCCTGTTACTCGTGGGGCGAAGAGGGTAGCTACGGTTGTCGTGATCGATCGGGTTACGGGGAAGGGTGGCGGGCTATGTATGTAGTTAAATCTCACCGCATTCCTTAGATGATGCGAATAGATATCAGCGGCCACATACAGCAGGTAGGATGTGTTGAATTAACGCCTCACTCTCCCACGGGCCGGGGTGTGTGGAAATATTTGGCTTTTTTTTTCCCTTCTAGGACAGTGATTGAATTTAAAGGAATAAGTAACGATTCATCCTCCTAACCTACATGTATCTAGATATTCGCAGATTGGTTGATTCAGTACTCACCAGTGTTGCAGTAGAAAATCCCCCCCCATCCCCACGCGTGGTCGACACTCCACCGTGAGCGCGTGTACCGAACTTCATGAATGATCACTCTCACAGCCTCAAAACGAGTGAGGAGGCATGAGTCTTTTTTTTCTTCATATGTTTCAATTTTGGGACGTGAAACATGGTTCCATGGCTCAGTTGGTTAGCGCGTGGTGCTAATATTGAAGAATGTTAACGCCAAGGTCGAGGGTTCGACCCCCTCTGGAACCAGACTTTTGCTGGTGGCATGAACGTTGTTGCTACACAAGCTTTTTGTTGCGGGGGAAGGGAGGGCGCAAAACTTTTTATTTCACATGCGGGGATTCTAGTGGGTGGTGGCGCTTGGCGGATTCGGTTTTTGCATCGGAAGTCACTCGAGTCTTGGCATTGTCCCAACATACAGATAACCTTATCAAAGTCAGGGATCACGATTTATTTGGCCATGGTGGCTCTGTATGTATCCCTTCCACGGTCAGGCTCAATCAAAAGGTCGACTTAATACTAGCTACATACAACAGCTATGACATTTTGAACCCGGGCAGAGGATATACCTCTCACGCTAGGAGTATCCTTAGTTCGTGGCGAGCAGTATAGTATCGAAAGGCTTAATTCGCCCATAGAGTTCCTGTGTCATACCTGCTGTAGTCGAACCTTTTAATCGGGAGGGGGTAGCTCCATTTTACAATCCGGAACGTTGCGTATATATCGTGGCCTGCGGGTCGCGGTACGAGCTAAGTTTGGCTCGTGTGTGGAGGGTGCTCAGAGATGGGTTCAAGAGGCCTGCGTTCGAGATTAAGAAGATGAGCAAGCCAGACAGTTGGTGGGTTGGCTTGGCCCGGGCCATGATAGAGGCCTGCCACGGTCTAGGTCTGACTAAAGTAAAGCATGGCTTCCCCCGGCCCATGTTAGTCGACGGCCTATATTGGAAGCGGTAGGTGCACGGGTTGCGCATTTGGCCCATATGTGTTCGCCACGTGCCGATGAAGAGAGTGTTCTTTGGGCCGAAGTTTTCAAATTTTAGATGTGATCATGGTTTATCACCCGACTCGTGGCGGCACACTGCGGCCGGCCGGCCGCCGGAGACTTGGTCGAGGCCGTCGCTTGATCAGCTATCGAGGTGGGGGGAACAAAAGGGTGGCCTTATTAACTCTGTACACACCACTCTAGCGGGTTCTTCTCTTGGTTTTGCGGGGGTAGATGATAAAGAGCTGTAACTTCAACGCGTCCTCTACTCCCACTCGCACCAAAGCCATAGGTTAGACTTGGCGTACAAACCAGCATCATGGGCTAGTACTCGGTTGCCAAGGCCAATCCACAGACGCAGTTTGGGTAGCCTCGTATGTGTCTCGAGACCTACCTATTTCTTGATCCTTGATACCGCTCCGACTTGTAACTATATATAGACCTCTGACAAATAGTTAGAAGAACCTCAAGGGAGAGAACTGCCGTACCTGTTTTGGGGAATAGAGTTATTCTATTGACTCATATAAAGATCTAGCTAGAGGACCACTTGGTTTTCATGGATGCTGTATTAATGGAGAGTCTTTCGGTATTAATGGAGAGTCTTTCGGGATCAATGGCGCCAATGACAGACAACCGAAGACGCTTGTAGTCGGTCGATCGAGTTACAGCGGGGCTCCTGGAGACCGAGCGTGAGAGAACGAAAAGGGGCTGATGATGAAGTTAATCCACCTTAGTACTGCCTACACTGCTACCATATGTTGCTACTGCTACTTATACTTATACTAGCAGTGTTAATGGTGATTTCAAGCAGCTGTGACCAATTGCAAGTCAGTATAGCGATTGGGGGCGGGCTCAGCGGCAGAATCATCAAAGGGCGGTTTGGCGATGGTACTGGCCGGCTTCGCGATATTGGTAAAGAAGGTGATTTACGAGAAAGAGAGGTGTGGAGTAATAACGTTTCACTAGCAAAAGGTTAGATATTTGGTGAAGATATCATCATGGGAGATCACTCGCATGCCAAGAAACCACCCTTCCACCTACGTTACAGTACGTGCAACCGCTGCCAGCACCACCACAACCAAATATTTGATTACTTGTACTTCCTATCTCTATTATCACTACATGTCCATATAGTACTCAACAATCGCTACCCCGCTCCCACGAATGGAGGTAAAGTAAGATGCCTCTCCAACTCCCCCAACCCCCCCGCCCGCCTCTGTCGCTCAGGTGAGAGACTTACCGACCGACCTCATTGGGGGTGATAGGGTAAGGAGATTCTTGACTCCACCCTTTCTAGATGCACCAGCACTCACCTCTGCTTTACAAAGGAGGAGACTCATCATCTCCCCCTCTCATATTAGGGCCGCACGTACTATTACCGAGAATCCTTTTATCCCTCCTGGGTCTTGGACAATGCCGGGGGTCTAAAAAGGACAGAATTAGTTTGAAATTTCAGAACCCTTTCCCCTCCCTACCACCATAGCAAGTACTCTTCTCATCTCTCTCCCCTGTTCTTTGGGGCGGGACAAGCCAAGATCTTTAGCAAGGGAAATACGGCGGATGGAGTAGCGCCAATGGAAGCTCATCAATGCCGGGAGTGGAAATATAGTTCTGCTTCCAAGGTAAGATGTTGACATTAGTTTTCTGGCCTCTCGGCTCTTGGGCTCTAGGTCCTTGATACAGTCCCATGGGGTGATCAACAACTATTTGCAATTTGATTCGTTTCGCGATATTGTTTACATAATCATGATCTTCGTAGATCAATTGTGTAAGAAGAGCTCTGGTGCGCCGCCCCCAAATCGCTTCCTCTCTCGATATCTACTTAATAATCAGAGACGTAAGAATGGAGGAATAGTTAGTCTTTTTTGCAAAGGAATTTTGTTTCGGTCCGGATAAATATATTTCATCTACTCTAGACCAATGCCGGCTCAGTGTGGTCCGGAGTCGCATATCATATATTTGTGTGGCAGCGGTGGGTGGCAGCTTATTAGCGGGTGATTACATAAACCCATATACACATCATGTAGTGGTCCAGCCTGGTATGGTATGGTATACCAGGCTGGACCACTCTATACTCGGGGCAGGCAAAAAGTACCGGACAATGCAAGAATTATGCGTAAAGAGGGGGATGAAAGATTGATGCATCAGAGTCAAAGAGTATTAAAGAAGGAAAATCTGGATCATAAGCTAAGTTTGTGAGTGGGTGCTTTGTCAAATGAACCCGCTAAAGGAATATTGCCCACTGTGGAAGAATTGTGAAACTTCCTTTACCCATTCTACATACATAACCGACCAGCAGCCATAGTTCTCGGTACCAGAACAAGCAAACATCGTTTCTCGAGCTCAATTCGAATTCCATATTTATATGCTAGCGCTCCTAATACTAATAGAGTCAAGACTTGTGCTCAGATATTCGTTGACAAGGATCCGGGTACTACATGTTACATGTATTTTAGTCCCTTTCGGCTACAGCGAGAGGTAAAATTATTGTAGAAACAGGGGGGTTTCTATGGCTGGGCAAGCCAATAGAACTCCTCCCATATTTCTACCTCTCGCTGTACATACGTCATTAGCGGGGTACATGGCCGCACGTCGCACCCCACCTTGAGCCTCACACGAAGCAACCTCACGCCCAAGTACCCAAGTCACCAACCCACCCACCCACCCACCCACCCAGGTACACCACCCACCCAATTGCAAAGTCCCCCACTAGAAACAGCACTATCAAAATGCACATCCTCGTACCTACCCCCCCCCCCCCCCCTTTCCCTCCCTCCTGCAAACAGCACCCCCCACTAACCCCCCTCGCAGGTAGTCAACGACGACGGCCCCCCCTCGCAGCAATCCTCCCCCTACGTCCACTCCTTCATCCACACGCTCCAAACCCACGGCCACACCGTCTCCGTCGTCCTCCCGCACATCCAGCGCTCCTGGATCGGCAAGGCCCACCTCGCCGGCCGCCGCCTCACACCAACCTACTTCCGGCCCGGGACCCTGCACACCGACGACGGCACAACGCACACGCGGCCGCGCACCGACGGCGGGGAGGAATGGGTGCTCGTCGACGGCACGCCGGCCTCGTGCACGCAGATCGGGCTCAACCACTACTTCCAGGACCGCGGGAAAATTGACCTGGTCGTGTCGGGCCCAAACTACGGGCGCAACTCGACGTCGCTGTTTAGTCTGAGCTCGGGCACCATTGGCGGCGCGATGGAGGGCGCGGTGTGTGGTGTCAAGAGCGTGGCGCTGAGTTATGCGTTCTTTGACCGCAACCATGATCCGGCGGTCATTAAGGGCGCATCGGAGATCAGTGTGAGGGTCGTCAAGTATCTGTATGAGAACTGGGCGGAGGGCGTGGATTTGTATACGGTGAATGTGCCGCTGATCTTGGGCGTTGATGGGGAGGGGACGAAGATCCTATATACGAATATCTTGCAGAACTATTGGACGATGGGGTCGTCGTTTGAGGAGGTCGAGGCGAACGATGAGCTGGATCCGGACGAGAGGGAGATGCAGATCAGGGAGGGTGGTGAGCGCGGGGAGGGCGCCGACCTGAAGGTCGTGGGGCTGAAGCATAAGACGTTTCAGTGGGCGCCGAAGTTTGCGGATGTGTATAAGAGTGTGGAGGAGGCGCCGCCGGGCAATGATGGATGGGCGGTGAAGGAGGGGCATGTTAGGTGAGTCTTTTGCCCTGCTTTGGGCTGTGGGGGGTGCAGATATAGATACTGACAAATTGCTCGTTCTGCAGCGTGACGCCGTTGAAAGCTAACTTCATGCATTTCGATGGACTCATCGGGGGCGAGATTAAGCTGTAAGTACATACATAACTGCGCGCGTGGTCAGAGCTGTGCCTAGACTTTGTTACATACAAGTACCGCTGCATCTGTACATCTTGCTTGCTTAGAATCAAATTCCAATTATCTACCTCTGTTTCTCTTGCAAGCCTCTACCTAACACCCCTCTCCAGACCCCAAACCAGCACCCTCGCAGTAAGAGAGCAATCAGCAGCAGTAGAGCAAGCCCCCTACTACGCCCTCGTAGACTACTCCGACCCCTACGTCCGCCCCCGCATCATCGCCGCCCTCCAAAAACACCTCCCCCAAATCCAAATCCTCTCCTCCACCCCTACCCCACCATTAGACCCCACGGCAAAGATCCTCCACTGGTCCTCCTACGAGGCCATCCCCTTCGAGGACATCCTCGCCCACCCCGACACGGCCCTCTGCTGCTCCTACATCATCCGCAAAGCGCTCATCCGCAAGCACTACCTCTCGCACACCCTCGCCTCCTGGACCACGAAGCACCCGACCTCCATCCTCGCAACGGCGGCGTCGACAACATGTGAGCTCGAGCTCGACTACGCAGAGTACCTCGACGAGGCCCTCGCAGAGGCATATGAGCTGCGCGACTCCCTCGCCGCCAACGACGACAAGCCCGCGGAGCAGCGAGAGTGGTGGATCCTGAAGCCGGGAATGAGTGACCGCGGGCAGGGCATCCGGCTGTTCTCGACGCTGCCGGAGCTGGAGGCCGTGTTTGAAGAATTCGAGGGCGACACCACCGACGAAGACGAAGACGAAGCCGACGACACCAACAACAACAACACCAACGACAACGACGCCTGGGGCGTCGAGAACGGCAACGCGGTCACGACCCCCATCTCCGACGCGGCCGCAACCGCATCCGGCATCGTCACAAGCCAGCTCCGCCACTTCGTCGCCCAGTCCTACATCCACCCGCCGCTACTCATCAACAACACAAAGTTCCACATCCGCACCTACGTGCTCGCCGTCGGCGGGCTGCGCGTCTACGTGTTCCGCCGCATGCTCGCGCTGTTTGCAGGGCGGCCATACGTGGCGCCGTGGGAGGAGAGCGCCGACCTCGCCGGGCACCTGACGAACACCTGCTTACAGAGCGGCGAGCGCGACGGGAGCGTCCGGCTCTTTTGGGACCTTGCTGGTGATGTGGCGGGTGGCCGGGAGGCGTTGGAGGGCGTGTGGGGTAAGATTCAGCGTGTTGTGGGCGAGACGTGGGAGGCCGCGGCGAGGGGGCAGAGGGTCCATTTTCAGGCGCTGCCGAATGCGTTTGAGGTATTTGGGGTGGACTTTTTGGTGGATGCGGGGATGGGCGTGTATTTGCTCGAGGTGAATGCGTATCCGGATTTTAAGCAGACGGGGGAGGAGTTGGGCGGGGTGATTGAGGGGTTGTTTGAGGGCGTGGTGGAGAGGGCTGTGATGCCGTTTTTGGGGGTAGGTAAGGAGGAGGGGGAGGACGGGGAGAGTGAGATGGTGAAGGTGTTGGATGTGGAGTTGGGGAGTTGGTAGATCTATAGAGGGGAGGGAGGTCTTGTGCTGTATATAGTTGGGCCTGTATGTACTCTAGATAGAAGTAAAAATAGGTCGGAAGGGGCCTTGTAAGATATCACAGCTCGATTTCCATACGTGCTTGCAATCTGTCTTGAATTACATGTACTTATGTAGTCCAGATAACTTGATTAAGGGTCGGTAATATGTACCCGTAAAAAGATTGCATCTGTCAATCACAAGGCATCACTCGCCTTATATGTTATTACGTAATTGAGCAAACATTCTTAGAGAAGAAGTCCCCAATGATCATGCCAACACAGCCAGTACGTACAGAGTCAATGACTCTACTATACCGCCGTAAGGTGGACGTCTTACAGTAGTGGTTTTGGCCAAGCCTCAGTTCCTAACATGCCTTGTCAACTAATATTTAACGGGCGGGCCGGGAACCACCAGCAGAGTATCCTATGACTTTACTCGATTTCCTCTGAGAAGGTCTTCGTAATACTTTATTTTTTTATATTTGTCTAACTACATACATGCACTAAGCTAAACTACCAGTCCAGTCGAACGCATCAAGATAACTGTTTCAATAAGGAATCGAATCATATTTTACCTGGGCCTATATATTAGCATTGTAGTGCAGTGTCGTATCAGTAGACTTATAAAAGCCGTGCATGTATCAGTCCCAGCGTTTCCACAAACCCCGAACCTAAGATCCATGAGGCCTCACTATCCCGTCATCCCTCTCCGGATAAGACTGGATGCGATCTACCTGCATCCCACCACCATCCACATCTCTCACTACCTCCACCCCCGCGCCACCCTTTATCTTCCCCTGCGCCTCCTTCTCCTCCACCGCATCCAGGCTCCTCAACATCCCGACCCTCCTCCTCCTCTTCTGCTTTCGATGGCTTCTGCAACAATACACGCCGAACCCCAGCGCCCCTATCACCACTAGTGGGATCACAATCTTTGCCCACAGCGCAAACGCTTTTACCAAATCAGCACCAGACTTATTAGGGGTGAGGAGTGGGGAAAGGGGTGCCATACCAAAAATCCCCTGCCGAGGCCGGCTAGGGTAATTTGGATAAGTGCCGTCACCGGTTGGGGTTGGCAGTGGTGCATCATAGGTTGTGGGTCTTTGAGAGTATGTGCCCCCGGTCGGGTACCCGGTAGTGGAGTAGAAGGTGGACGGGGTCCGTGATGGGGTTTGTTTGGTGGTGGTGGTATTGGTGGTGGTAGTATTCGTGCTTGATGTTATGATGGAGCTAGAATGATATGGTTAGGGCTTGAATCTTCCCCATTGTAGAGAGAGAGCGAGTGGGGTGTACATCTTGGATAGCAATGCCGTCTCTGTTTCTTGCGGGGCTCCATTCTGAGCACATCAGTACCTGCTGTATATTGGCCCCGCTACATCAGAGAGACTCAATCGGCAGTATACTCACCACGCATAGGAAGACGCAGCTAACCAACACGCATATTAGGTGTTTCAGATTCATGATTTTCTAGCAGCGTTGAAACTGCTGGTCTGTACATACAAGGCTGAGCGCAACCGAGAATAAGAGCTGGGTTATTGGCGCATATTTATCACTTCCATGGTAACAAAACGGCTGAACATCCATCTATGTAGGAGCAATCGACGGTCACGGTGAAAAAAAAAAGCAAAGAATAAAAGCCACTCAGGCTGTTTCTTACGTCATGCATTCAGGTTGTCAGACATGCAGGCGCCGCGTGCGTCATGGGTTGTCACTCGAATGGGAATGTGGGGTTGGTGGTTTTGCGGCTGCGAAGCTAGAGGATATTCGTTACGAGATAGTGGTGGTAGCTATATATAGGACAGCCAGATCTGTAGAGGAGTATGTTGAACGTTAATCGCGAAGACTAATAGAGTGGTCGGAATACGCGAACTATCATTTCAGCTTAGTCTTTAGCCCCATGATCCAAGCTAGCGATGGTAGTAGTCGTCAGTCAAGTGTGTATGTTGCGTTCATTTTAAACCACCAGCTCGTTATCGATAGAATGTGACAATTCGCCCCAAGCCCCAAGCCTAATGTCTTGCTGTTGAAAAAGTGGGATGAGATAGTCAACTGACTTAACTCTTGTCTTGACAAAGAGTCTAACTATATAGTCACAGATCGGACAAGTGTCAATATGGCAGTGACAGGTTCGGACAGATCACCTGTACGGGTTCGACATCATTTGAAAAGCCAAATATCCCACACTCGCGCAAGATCGTCAAGCGAGTGATAAATTGTGACGCAGACCATGTACAGCCGCATTCGAAAAGTACTGGCACCCTACTATGTTGAGTCGTTCATGAATTGTAGCCCACCAACAACCATGGTACTTGTAAATACTCAACTTATTGACAGGTATGACCGCAATAGAGACATTGCAGCTCTCTCTGACAACGGTCTCGAATATGGGAATTGCAAAGCAGAAAGGACTGCCTCGTTAGTTTGGCCCGGAGGTGGCAAAACTTTTCGAATGCGGCTGTACAGAGCGAATCTGTAGATTGAGTACACTTTTGTTCTCCGTCTCAATTGGACTTTGAGTGGCTGTGGGGTCATTAGTAGTAGTAAGTGTTGCAGGAAGTAGCTGCTATAGTGACTCTTTTTTGTCGGCTTCGTTCTCCTCTCAATGAAGGCAATCTTTTCGCTTCACACTGTTTTTGTTTGTCAAGGCTGCTGCTCCAACTGTGCATAATCTCTAACAGGCCTTTACTCGATAATAACACTTCCATGCTAATCAAATTATATAAAGTTTGGATTAAAACATGTATGGCCGTGGAGCTTGTCAATCAAGAGCCGAGCTCGAATGCAGCCAAGACACGGGCATACTGAGATCCAACACAAAGCTTGTGAGAGCCGCTTCTTGATGGATTGAAATGGCACATACCAACTCATTCACAATACATATAATCAATCCCAATTGCTATAGATAATTATATTGAGATATAAATACGCATAGAGTACATAGATACATCTCCAAGTATTACACTCTTCAAGTATTATATTAAAAAGTAGATCCCAGTAATCATAAGGTACTCCCAGTACCCGCCTCCCGCGAATATCTCCATATACTCAAACAATTAGCCCTAAAACCTATCCCACCCCACCCTTGCGAAGTATATTTCACATCCCATATACTACATTTGTCCGTCAACCTCCTCTTCCTCTTTCCATCATCATATTATTATCCAAACGGCATCCACGCCAGTATCATCAATTCTCACTTTTGAGATAATTGATATCCCCCAACTCTTATAGGGCGAGAGTACTGCACCGCCATCACAATCCATGGTCAATCTCAATGATTGGTGGCTCCTACCTCTTGTAGGGCAAGTGTACTGCACCCCCTCATCCATCCGATTCCATCATCACCATCAATCACAATCGGGGTAATTACTAGTACAAATTTCCAATCAAACCTTCTATCTATTAATTATAAGCTAACATAAAATTCAGCAATACCAAGACCGAAAGTCTTGACCGATTGATTGATCGACAGCAAGTCTTGATCACATACAAAGGGGGTCTCGAGACCATATGCAACTGTGGGCATCAAGATATCCGGCACAGATGAAAAACTATCTGAGGTCTATGGGGCGGCTGTACTGTACACCACAGGTACTATAGCCAACACAATCACTACAATCAATCCTCAACAGAGGCGATTGGTGGCCCTTACATCTTGTAGGGTAAGTTTACTGCCTATTATCATCATTAATTCCTAGCTCCAAGATTAACATTCCCAAAATCTTATAGGCAAAAGTACTGTGCCACTATTAGCTTCGAAATCAGGGTGAATGGTGGCTCCTATTTCTTGTAGGGTAAGTGTTCTACCTACTATAGCTATATATCATCATCAATTTCTATCTCTGAGATTAACATCCCATAAATGTTATAGGCAAAAGTACTGCACCATATCGTAAATTTTGAGATTAGGGCGAATGGTGGCCCCTATATTTTGTAGGGTAAGTGTTTGACCCGCCTACTATCATCATCAGTTTCTAGCTCCGAGATTAACATCCCATAAATATTATAGGCAAAGGTACTACACCATACCGTCAACTTCGACACCAGGGTGAATGGTGGCCCCTACACCTTCTTGTAGGGCGAATGTACTGTTGATTTACCACCACCAACAATTTAGGAACTTGAAAAAGTTCCTCAATCGAATAGGGCGGCTGTACTGCACCACCAGCAGCATCGATACCAGGGCGACTGGTGGCCCTTGCATCCTGCAGGGCCACTGTACTGCATTTATACCCTCCTCAGAAATGATTCGAAGAATCGATAGGGCCGATCGAAGTCTCCCAAATCATTAGGGCGGGTGGACTCCTAACCACCAACGAAACTCCAAGCAATCGGTAGGATCGATATCCCCATACTCTTATAGAGCGAGTGTACTGAAAACCACTAACATCAGTACTAGTTCCAGGAAGAAAATCGATCCTGTAGGGCGGTTGTACTGCACACCACACCTCCACCCTACCAAGCCCACTGTCAGCATTTATGCCGGGGCGATTGGTGGCCCTTGCATCTTGTGGGGGGAGTGTACTGCCCACCACGATACCACCGCCGTCTTCGACATCATCAACATCATCATCGGTGTTGATAGCAGGTTTACCGGCCGTTATTTCTTTTCCCCTTTTATAGGGAAAACGTACTGCACAACAAACCAGATCCACACCAAAGGAGTTGCGGCAGGTGGCCGTCACATCCTGTAGGGCGACTGTACTGCACAACGGACTCCATAGCAGGGCGACTGGTGGCCGTTGCAGATATCCTGCGGGGTGTCTGCACTGCACTATACCGACCGCAATGCAGGTGTAAGACCCCTTCTATATATTCCTTCATCTGTGGCAATTCATGGCTCACATATATATAAAAATCCAGCCGAGCCAGAGTTTGCACCGGTACTACTAGCCCAGTAACAATCTACTCGGCAGACCGGGCGAAGGGATACACCCACACGCCATCAGATCTCCTCCCGGTCAATCTTCTGATCGTTCGTACCCAAATATGGTCGCTCAATTCATTCCTTTCCATCTCCGTCACTCACTTCACCTCGATTCACTCGGTAAGCTAGAACCATACTCCAAAAGAATTTATATAGAGCTAACTCGACTCCAAAAACAGATGGCCAGACGCATCACCCGAGCCATATCTCTGGCTCTAATGGTTGATTGCATCAGCACTGGTGCATCTCCAGAACCGCACCTCCGGTTTTAAGGGTTGATTACATTGGCATCACCAGATGGCCTGATGATCCTCCGGAGCTGAATTTCCGGTTCCGGTGGTTGATTGCGCTGGAGTTACCGTCAGACTGAGGGTGGGAAGTAGGACAAGGGATGCAGGTTTGTCTGCGCTGTGCGGTTCGGTGGGGGAAGTATTTTTATGGGGATCGGGAATTAGAGAGGGCTTGAAGGTCGGTTATATTTCTGTAAATATTAATATTAATATTATAAAATCAAACGTTTTGTGAATGTGGTGATGATGAGTGGGTCATGGAACATCACTCGTAGGGTCTTTGGTGTGGCGGGTGATTGATCGTGATTGCTTCGGCTGACAGTGCGAAGGTTGCAACGGGTTATTCGCCGTGTTGGATATTTGGCTTTTCAAATGGTGCACCCGAGCCCGTATATACAGGCGACCTGTCCGAACCTGTGAACACCTGTCATTGCCATGCTGAAACGTAAGAAGTGTCTTCGGGGGCCTCGAGGCAAGGAAAGGTAGTGTCCTCGAGACAACTTGTCCTTGTAGACCATTGTCCTTGAATGTCATCGAGGTAAAGTCATAAGGACGCTCGTCCTAGTAGACCACACTACTGCCAATCAGTCAATCAATCAATCAATCAATCAATCCTGCCCTTTTTTTCAACAGCTTGTGTGAGGGATGTGGCGGGTGATTCACCGTGATTGACTCGTCGCTGATGCGACTTGGGGGTTCATTCTTCATAGGCTTTGGCTTTGGCTTTGCAACGTCATGGGTGATTTCAAAATCATATAAAAAGCTCAGTAAGGATATATTCTATATACTCTAA